CATTACGGAATTTTCAAATTGGCCCTTTTCTCACATTTTCTTTACACAACTTTAAAAGCCTTCAACTCCTCAATACATTCAGATTATGATCATTTTAATTTTAAATCATTTCATTCTTCATTCAGTATTCAATTTTTTCAAACTAATTCCAACTCATTTAAACTGATTTAAACCTTTCTGAATCTTCAAATCTCATATCTTTCACATAATTTTTTAACTTAAACCATTTACAATAGCAGCTTAGCGATGGCAATTTCAGCTGGAGCAATCCAACTCGCAATTTCTTCAGAAATTGCATTTTCTAGTTATTATTATTTATTTATTTCATTTACAAAATGAGTTCCATTGTCACTGTAGATTCGTTTTGGAATGCCAAATCAAGAAATTATTTCTCTACACAGGATTTTTGCTACTGTTAATGCATCTGGATGGGTGACAGGAAATAATTCTATCCATTTAGTGAAAGGATCTATTAACACTGAACAGTATTTCTTTCTCTCACACTGATTTAATTCTATGAAGTCCATGTGTATGGCTTCAAATGATGCATTGGTTGGTGGAAATTGGCCTCTTTTTGGTTTTATACTGTCTTGAGCATTATGTCTAGCACAAACTGAACAAATCAAATAGTTAATTGTTTTTTTTTTTTTTTTTTTTTTGAATAATTTACCAATCAATCAATAGGGGGTCAAGTGTTGATTAACTACTACACTCATCCCTCCTGTCGAGACATGGCAAGGCCCATGACTCGCTATTACTACCTCTAAAGCTCTGTTTGCTGATCTGACAAAAATCTTTTGTTTGGAAAACCTAATCTGTGGTAGTTTATGTCTAAGAACTGTTTGTTGCACCGGAGTCACACAAAAAGGTTACAGATAAACCATGAATCATTAACTATATCTGCGGTTTTATGTCTGCATAATGTATTCCTTCTCCAACAGACTGTTGCAGCTCCGCTGTCGAAGGAACAGATACAGGAAATCTTTCCTGCCACAAGCTATTGCACTGTTCAATAACTCACATATGTCAGACAGGGACTCACGCCTGTCTGCTGTATAGTCCATTTTTAAAAACTCCTATCACATCATATTACCGAACACCTTAAATTGTCTGTATATCTATCATCCCATCTGTAATATTTCGCATTTCATATTTATTACTCATTTCATATTTATTACTCATTTCAATAGCCCACGTTCTTCATATCTCACTTTTATTTCTTAGGATGTTTAGTATATTTAGCCTGTATTTCTTGTATATCTTCTTATATATATATAGTGTATTTTTAGTCTGCTTTGTACTTGCTTCTTCTTATATTTTAATTTTATTTTGTATTTTCTTTTTGCTGCTATAACAAGAGAATTTCCCAGTTTGGGATCAATAAAGTATATCTATCTATCTATCAAAATATATATATATATATTTATCTCCTCCAAGTTTAGCACTTCTTCCTCCGCTGTTTCTTCTCTGTTCACACTTTCTCTTCATTTCTGTCGAATAACACTTGCTGTCTCTCCCTCTTCTAGTCATGCTTGATACTTCTTTTCTACAGCTTTTCACCTAGTGACAAAAGCTCTGCAATTATCTGATGTTGTGGTCCATGACCTCGGTCAGGGTACTGTTCTTCACCTCTCTGCTCTTGTGATTCATAACCTTTGTCAAAACTTCTACTTCCCCTATCGTTTTCTCTATTGAAATTCCTGCCTCTTAACCTGCCTTTTCTACCTTTCATTTCTGCATTATTATCAGTATTATTTTTATTTTTATTATTATTATTAAAGTTGTCTTTACTTATAGCTTTTGATCTCGTCCTGACTGCTCACGCCTTCCTCCCTTTGATTTGTTCTTGCAATTGCGGGCTATATGTCCCTCCTTTCCACATGCCCAGCAACCTGTCCCTCTTTGATTTGCTCCTCCTGGTCTGGGCCTATCCTGTCCTCTACCTCTGAACCCTCTTCTGCTTGCTTTCTTTATATCACCCTTTGATTTTTCGGTTATGGAGTCTTGTAGTTTGTTTAATTGGCTTGTTCTTAGGCTGCCATCGAATCCAAATTTGATTACTCATAATTAGAGAAATTGTAACTTTTCGGGCTCTTTCTCAAAGATTCTCCAATCTTGACATCTTAATTCTTCTAAATTAGCCTTACTGGCTTCCGTCCCCATTTTTATGTGATTTGGTCCAGCTTAGGTGACACCTAGGGTGTCCTATTAAGCTGGGTTCTTTCAGTGGGGTAGTGATAAAAATTCCTTATGTGGTAATTCTCGCTTCTACTCTTGCGAGTGGAGAATTCTTGCCTTTGCTTCCACAATAAGGTCACTACTTACAATCCCACTGTTTTGGTATGAATAGGATATATCTAGTAATATATCCCTATTCCAATCACTCTCACACTTTCACAATCACACTTTTAACATGTGTTTTGCTCTGCAGAATTTTCTCAATCAGGCCTTTGTCCACGGCACAACACCGGACCCGCGCGTCTTCCTCGGAATTTAAACTACATCTAAGCTGTGTCCGAATTGGGCCAACGTGTTTAGTATGTAGGAGTAGGATCTAGCAGTAGCACGTAGCAGTAGCATGTAGTATGCGAGCGGGCAATTCGGACACAGCACTAGTAGTAGGACTCCGGCATCCTTCCTCGGAATTTAAACTACATCTAGTAGTAGGACTCCGGCATCCTTCCACGGAATTTAAACTATTTCTAGTAGGACTCCGGCATCCTTTTTGGTCTTTTATAGATTCTCTACGCGAAGCGAATTTCAATCAGTCCACGTTTCTTTTTATAAAAGACCAACTCACCACTTGTCTTTCCCCTTGGCTTCGGATTTCCGTCAACCGTCGGATCCCAGCAGGCGGGTCGAGTCCAGTTCCTCAAAGAGGTCTTTAAGACTCAGCCTAGAGAGTCTGCCGTGGCCACGGTCTTATCTGTCGTCCACCTCACCTGCTGGAATCGTCAGGTCTATTGGAATCTGGCTCGAAGGACCAAAGAAATGTTAGGTCTAAAACCTGCCCAAATACCTGAAAACATATAAAGTAGAGAAAGACAATGGTTTATGTTTGAGGAGAATGGACAGAGATGGCATCAGGTATTGTCTCAAGACTACTCTGAGAGTGGTTTTCTGTCCGGCCTCTTTTATTTAGAGTTGTCCCTGGTTACACAATGTTTCTAAAGGGTGGGGGAAAAATATGTGCAGCAACGTGAGCATTCTCATAAAACATAATAATGAACAACTGTGAATATGTGAAGGTCAAGGCGGCATCTAACGAGCTCCTTCTGATAAGAGCGGATCCTCCTCTAACTTCCCACGATTCATAGTGGAGGATACATCACCCACACCCCCACACCTGCTGATAGGAAAAACAAGGTCACAGAAAACTGAAGAAACATTGATGTGCTGTGTAGTAAAGCTATTGGAGAGAGAAGTTAGAAAACACTCTTATATGATAAAAACACTCTTATATGATTTATAAAAGAGGTCAAAACAGTTTATACTTGTAGTAAACTCTTACATAAGAATATGAGGAATAATGATAACTTCTATATACATTTATGCACATTATCCTAACACCCTCCCGGCCTCCCCCAGTTCTCCACCCTGGACTGTCTTCAGATGGCACATCACCTTTTTTATTGCACATCACACTAGATTAGGAAGAGGAAAGGGGTCTCAATCACATCAAATTATAGTTCAGGACAACCCCTCTCCTCGGTTTTGATGCACAACATCAGAAAGCACATATATGAGAGAAATAAAAAAAAAAGGGAAGAAAATAAATAACTAATAATAATAAAAATAAATAAATAAATAAATAAATAAATAAATATAAAGTATATTATGTAAATAATAAAGACTAAATATACATCTAGACATAGGGTAAGGTGTTGTGCCGCATTCAGTCCGGGGCGTGCGGAGGTTGGGGGGGGGGGGGTCTGGGGGTCTGGGGGCCTGGGGGGATGCAGGCAGGTCTCGTGCGAGTGGGAAGGGACCCGAGGTGGTCCACAAATTTCAAGACCCCCCCTCCACCCATATTATTATTATTGTTATTCACCATCTTTATTAATATTGAATGTTGTTGTTGTTGTTGTTGTTGTTCTTCTTCTTCTTATTATTATTATTATTATTATTATTATTATTGTTATTGTTATTATTATTGTTGTTGTTGTTGTTGTTGTTGTTGTTGTTGTTATTATTATTATTATTATTATTATTGATATTATTGATATTATTCTTCTATTATAATTTCCATTTGCTTGTCTGACAATTGTAATATTTTTTATCATTATTATTCACATATATAATACACACACACACACACACACACACACACACACACAAAACCACACATGCTGTTGTTTGTTGTCTGTCTTGCACTGTCACTGTAATGCCGTATTGCACAAATAAAAAAAAACAAAAAAAACATGTATAACTAAATGTATATAACATTTATAAGCAATCTTTAGATAAAGAAGTAATCATAGACAAGCTGTTTGCAGAACATTTATAAATCATCTAATAATATTTATTTTTGATTTTAGCTATCATAGGAATTCATTTACAAAGGTCTGTTAAGGTGATTTTAATAAATGCTTTTGATTTTAATAAGTTTAATAAATGCTTTGCAAAACATTCCTTAAATATCTATGAACCATTAGTAGATGTTATCAAGAGCCCTAATGTAAAGTGAAGACTATTCATTATTTACAACGGCCATTTAAGGTGACCTCAATGTTTGTTCATGTTTAATATTTGCTTTACAAAACATTCCTTAAATATCTATGAATCAGTAGTTGATGTTATCAAGAGTCCTAATGTAAAGTGAAGACTATTCATTCTTTACAAGCATTTGTTTATGTCGCCACCACATTTGTTCATATTTATCAGACATTCGTAAATAATGAATTGTCTTCACTTTACATTGGGGCACTTGATAACATATACCAATGATTTATAGATGCATTAGTAATGTTTTATAAAGCATTTGTTAATGTGGACTTTCTACTTCCCGGCCTTCATGGGTGCTGACACAACTCATGACTAGAATTCTCATATAGCAAATGATCTGTAAGACAGTGCTAAGGATTAAGAAATATATAAACCATTTGCATATGTTATGGTGTGCCCTGTCCAACTAGTCCAAGAGGTTGCCTTACAGACCAAGTATTCTACATTATTTCACGTTCAACACAATGATTACTGAAAGATTTAAACAATCTTGTACCACAATAAATGTGACAGATGTAACGGTATAGAGAACAGCATTTAACATTTTATTCCAATATAAATATATAAAACATTTACCCTAAACAGCTCACATTGTCATTTAAACAAATAAAATATATTTGTATTTGTATAAAACATACAGAAAACACTTTAAATGTAAAAATAAATCAAATAAATAAGAGGGAGCAGTTCACACACACACGACTGATCTTCAATCAATGACACACCCATGAAGCTCAGAGATCTTTTGTTTTTGTCACATTCCTGAGCCATTAATTTGATGACTGGCTTATCAGTCAGTAGGGGATACTTGAGTCTCCACCGGTTATCAAATTATTGGCTTCGGAATGTGTCAAAAACTAAACAGATATTGAATTAAATCAATTGGGGGAGTTATTGAAAGACTAAGTCATTTTCTGGGGTGAACTACTCCTTTAAAATGACAGTCGAACGGAGCATTTTCCTATCAAATGTAAACACTTTGAACACCCTTTGTAGAGGTAGGTGTTTTGAACACTAGGACAGTCAATCAGTGAGAGAGAGAGAGAGAGAGAAAGAGGGAGAGTAAGAGAGAGAGAGAAAGACATTTTCGGCATCAGCTGCCTAAAAGCCTCCTCCTGCGAGTGACGACAGTTGGACGGACTTTGATTTTTTCAAAAACCAACACACTCTTGTCCCTGCCTGACTCATCCCCTGACCCGCATGTCATGCAGTAGACGACCTAAGGGGCCATGACGGTGTTTCCTTGCAAGCCAGTCTTCCCACTCAATGACTGAAAGGGGGTCTTCAAGGAGCTCCTCTATGCTTTCCTCTAAGTCGCCAGATCTTCTCCTTATATGTTCTCCAGGCTCTCTCTATATGTTGGGTGTAGAAGACTGTATTTGCCAAAAGAGAAGTACCAAAAAATAACAATGAAATGGAAGTAGTTCAAAAAAGGTAAAATATTAATGCCCACTTGTATAGGTGCCCACATGTCCCTAGAGCCCAGTTGTGCCCAGTCATCCAACACACAGTGCCCAGATGTTTGTAGTGCCCAACTGACTTGATATACACTACTTTAACACACACACACACACACACACACACACACACACACACACACACACACACACACACACACAAACAGACACTCTCTCTGTCATTCTCACACACACACACACACACACACACACACACACACACACACACAGTCATCGTTATAACAGTATTAATGTAAATGATATTTTTAGCCTTTTTTATTAAACATACAATCTATGTTAAAAAATAAAAAACATACCATTCAAATCGATCCAAACAAGCCCTCCGCAGCATCAGCTTCATATTGTGCCTGCATGAACAGCATTTAACCTTCCTTTTCGGTATTATTTCTTTAGCAGCTTCTTATCACAGTGTGATAAGAAGCTGATTCTGAACAAAAGATGAAGGCTTTCTAGTGCGTATTTAGTTACTGAAATGTACACACAGCAGTACGTATTTCACCACTTTTTTTTTTTTTTTTTTTTTTTTTGGGGGGGGGGGGGGGGGGGGGGTGACATTTTAAGGCAAGAGCTTCCCTTGCTGTCTTAGAGCAATCGCCACTGATATATATATATATATATATACAGTATATATATAGTATATACAATCTATGGTCCCGCCAGAATACATAACCAAAAACAGAAAAAAGTCACATTAGCGTGCAGCGTGCACATTAGAGGGGAGCTCCCCTTCCTGCCATTCAACCAAATCAGAGGCAAGCAGGGAGAATGCTTCCTAGAGATGTCAATCAAGACAGATGACTGGCCAATCATGTCGCGCAAAGGGCGGGTCTAGTACAAGCTCTTGAGCAGCTGAGCTGAGGCGGCTGACTCTAATCGATAATCAATCAAGGTCAAAGGTCAAAGTTTGCAAGAATGAACACCGCTACACGTCGAGCATGAACTGAATGTCCAAAGCCGATAGATATTATTGAAGATGAGGAAGAAGGCGACAGCACAGGTAAGCTACTGTACAAAAGCCATATATGTTGCTTGGAACGTGTATTTGTTTACTTATTTAGTCCTGCAAAATACTATGATGAACTGATCACAAACATCAATGTAGCTAGTTAACGTTAGCCTTGCTAGCGTTCGGGTTAGTGGAGGAGGGTTCAAAACCAACGGCACTACATCGTCCAGGGCTTGCAGGGGCCGAATTAGATTGTATAAAACCACATAGAATTTCTTTACAAAACAAGTTGCACCGAATGTGACAACTTGTCACATTCGGTGCCTATGTAAATTGCCTATGTAATGCAGTCACTGAATTCTATAGGTCACCAGTTTTGATGTGACAGGCAAGCGTCCTCTCGGCAAAACAAGTTTGCACGTTGATCATGAAAGTACCTCAGATAAACATAGTACACACTAGCTTGGATAAAAAAATTTTAAGAAAAAACGCAGCTGCTCTTGTCAAATGTTTATTTATCATGGTTTGTAGTCAAATCTCTTTAGATATGTTTTAGCTACCAGCTGAAGTGAAATGCATGTTATGCTATAAACGAGTTGTCTATACCACTGGTTCTCTAAGTATGGTCCGGGGACCCTCAGGGGGCCCTCAAGGGATTTCAAGGGGTCCCCCGCTAGATGATAGTTTGGAACTAAATGGGACCCCTTGTGGGTGTGCATACAAAAGGAACCAAATGGACCCCGTAGTGTCCATTATTTTTACACTCTAAATTAATCAACAATGATGTTAGCTTTGTAGTGTGGCTGGTTAGTTGAAGGTAGTAGATGCAAACAGAGGATGTCCGGTAGGCTGGTTGGCTGGCTGTCTCTTTGCCCTGTTAGCCCCCAAATGTGGAACAAACTCCCAGTTGCACTTAGAACTACAGACTCAATGGGTAGGTAATTTTGCAAACTTCAAATAGGCTATTTGCAGTTCTGTTCTACTATAGCCAAGAGTTATTAGTTTTAAGAACCTTGTTAACCAGTAAAATCACTCTCAGCTTGGCCTGGGCGATTTGGCAAAAAAAATGATCACGATTTATTTTGTCATATCGTCCGATCTCGATTATTATCATGATTTTTTTCTTTAACTGCCAGTTTTAAAGCATCTGTACTAAAAACTAAAAAAACTAGAGATTAGTTCAACATTTTATTAACATACAAAGTAAATAACAACGCAAATTGAATAAGATACACTTAAAAAAATCTAAAAAAACATTTTAACTCAACAGTACTACATGTTCTACATGCTCTCCCATATGAGGCTCTCTGAACATCTGTGCATGAAATACAGCACTCTTTTATCCGGGGCTGCCCTGAACGCATCACTCTCGCATATCTCGCGTTTGTTTTCCTTTCATCGAAATGTTCATTTTGCAACAAACACTGCTTTAATATAGTTTACAGCTGAAACCGACCTGAATCATCCCAAACTGTAAAGTAAAAGTATCAATCCACTGTCTGTGAGGCTCAGCAGAAACACAGGACTATCTCCGGTTGTCTGGAAACTTTGGACAAATATAGTGAACCGATTCATGAATGAATGTGGACCATGCTACGAGAAATTCCCGGGAGAAATGACAATACGGGGGTTGGGCGGGAGATAGGTCTGAAACACGGGAGAGTCCCGGGAAAAACGGGAGTGTTGGCAGGTATGGAAATGATTGATCGCTGCTTTGGTCTGGTGGCTGCACCGCTAGTTGTGGCTAAACTGCTAATGCTACTCATACCGTCAGCAGTGACAGGCTGTACAGACTCTGCTCACATTTTCATGCTTCCCGCATAATCACTCGGGAAGAACTTCTTCAAATGATTAAACTGATCTGTTGTGTTGCCGGTTTATCGCTTAATTGCTCGATGTCACTTTGGAGAGACGTTGAACAACTTCTCAACTATAACATCTTCTGAGGATGACTCAAAGTCACGGCTCACATCTATTTGCTGCCCTCAGCTCTGCGTTTAGCTCCATGTTCGGCCATTCTGTTTATTTCTCCTTACTTCTCCGGTAACTTACAGAAGTGAGCAGGAAAAGCCAGACTCTGATTGGCTGTTGTGACGCACATTTCTGCCATGTTTGATCGAGTAATTATGCTCACAGCTAATCACCGTGATCAAACTGAAATTTATCGCGATCATCGATCATATAATCGCCCAGTCCTACTCTCAGCCCCACTGCTCCTTTTTGTAGTTTGTGATGTGATGTAGGCCTTGCTACATGCTCAGTGTTTGTGCTGTTGTATTCCCTCAGATGCCCCTCTCTATTGTGTCTAATTCGTTGTTTGTCTTTGTATCTATCGTTTTGCTTTCTTAGATAAGAAAAAAAAAATGCCAAGGCAAATGAAGAACAGTATGCATCCAGTGACTCCCAGATTTCCACAACCTCCACATCTGTTTGTTTGAATGAGAAGCTGCCAAACTGCAGTGAATTTAGGGCCTCAGAACTTCTTCACATAGTGGGATTTCCTTAAATCATTTTTATGTATTTTTTATGGCTGTAGAGTGAAATTGGTGGGCGTAGTAGCGATATATTTGAGCGAGGTTCTGTCGATCCAAGAGCAGCTGTCCACTCTAGCGATGACATCATAACTCTAGCCTCTCCGATACACATCCATTATAAAGCCTGAAATTTGCTGAAAACCACGAGTTGCTTAATGCTAAATTGTGGAAAAACTTTAGGAGATAGCACAAAAAAGTAAATGAACATTTTAAAGCAAAAATGAGGTCTCTAGGTGAAAGTACGCTGAAGTTATAAGGCTGAGAAGGTGGAGGAGAAAAAGGTAGAATTTGAAGATTTCCCCATTCATTTCAATGGGAAAAATTTAGCACAAAAAGTAAAATATTTCAAAAAGTAAAAGGGGTAGAAAAGTGAAAAATACATCCGCTTAATCAGCATTTCCACTTAATAAGTTTAATAAAGAAACAGGAGAATAACAATGAGTGGAAATGCTTAATCAGCATTTCCACTTAATAAAGATATGAATAACATATAGTGTGAATGCTTCGCAATCCCACTGAATAATGATTAAAATAAAGATATGAATAACATAAAGTGGGAATGCTTCGCAATCCCACTCAATCATAAAAAATAAGTGAATAACATACAGTGGGAATGCTTCGCAATCACACTCAATAAAAATAAAGATATGAATAACATATAGTGGGAATGCTTCGCAATCCCACTCAATAATAAAGACATGAATAACATAAAGTGGGAATGCTTCACAATCCCACTCAATAATAATAAAGATATGAATAACATAGTGGGATTCCACTAAATAAAGAAACAGGAAATGCTTAATGCTTAATCAGCATTTCCACTTAACAATAATAATAATAATAAAGAAAGAAAATGGCCGACAGGAATAACAATAAGTGGAAATGCTTAATCAGCATTTCCACTTAACTAGAAGAATTGCATTTCCTTGCAGAAAATGCGTGGAAATGCTGAGTGCTGAAAGCTGAAAAAGCAATGCTAAATTGCTAATAAAACATGGAGAAAGGTATAAATGTAAAAGCTGTTGAAGGTGTGAAAAAGAAATAGAAGTTGGATAATTGTTAAATTGGTTGAAGGACAATTAGTATGAATATGCTCTATAAAAGGAAATTTTATTCATGCTGAAAGATGCTAGAAAAATGCCTAAAATTGCACAAAGTTTGAATGAAGAAGGAAATTGCCTTAAAAGGCAGGAAGGTGAGAAGTGGCATAAGTTTAAGTTGTAGTACTAGAAGTAATACATTTATTTGTAAAACTACTTCAATCACACTCTATCCTCCTGCCTGGACCAGTTCGCACCCCTTAAAACAAGAACAGTTTTATTTAGACACTCTGCCCCCTGGTTTACCTCAGAACTGCACAAAATGAAATCACACATACACCAACTGGAACGTCGCTACCGCAAAACCGGCCTCACCATCCATCTCCAAGCCTACACCGACCATCTCCACCTGTACAGAACAGCCCTAAAATCCGCCCGTTCTTCCTTTTACTCCAACCTCATCCAATCTGGCTCCAGTAACCAAAAGGCTCTTTGCTCCACAGTCAAAAAACTGCTACACCCCATAGACAGTACCTCCATCACCTTCACCCCGGAAAAGTGCAACTCATTCCTCTCTTCTTTTCAATCCAAAATCAACACTATCTACAACTCCCTTCCCCCACCCTCCATTCCCAGCTCCTCCCCTCATCCTATCAGCACTCTCCCGCTTCTCACCTGTTTCTTCAACCGACGTGACCAACATCATCTGCTCCATGTCATCATCCACCTGCATCCTGGATCCCATCCCATCCTCCCTCATCAAGCACTGCCTCCCCGTCATCTCTCCCATCATCACACAGATCATCAAATCCTCCCTCAACTCCGCCACTGTTCCCCCTTCACTCAAAAAACCAGGACTCAACCCTGACGACATCACCAACTTCCGGCCCATCTCCAACCTTCCTTTCCTGTCAAAAATCCTTGAACGTGTCATTGCATCACAAATCAAAGCCCACCTCAACAATAACAATCTTTACAAACAGTTTCAATCAGGATTCCGCACCCACCACAGCACTAAAACTGCCCTCATCAAAGTCACCAACGACCTCCTCATTTCTGCTGACTCCGGCCAACTCTCCATCCTCATCCTCCTTGACCTCTCTGCTGCTTTCGACACCATCAATCACGCCATCCTCTTGTCCTGCCTACACTCCCTCCTCAATATCACAGACACCGCTCTTAACTGGATCCACTCATATCTCACAGACCGGAATCACTTCATCCATATCAACAACTGCTCCTCCACAACTGCCCGTGTCCCAAGGTGTCCCCCAGGGCTCGGTGCTTGGTCCCCTCCTCTTCATTATCTACCTCCTCCCTCTTGGCCACATCCTCCGTCAACACAATCTTCACTTCCACTGCTATGCTGATGATATTCAATTATACATCTCTTCCACCTCCATCACCCCCCAGACCCACCGCTCCCTCTCAAACTGCCTCTCTGATGTCAAACACTGGATGGACAGCAACCTTCTCAAGCTCAACTATGACAAAACAGATCTCCTCATCATTGGCCCAAACTCCCTCACCTCCACAGTCACAGACTTTCATCTCTGAATTGACAACTCCACCCTCTCCCCCTCCTCCCACTATCGCAACCTTGGTATTCTCTTCGACAGCAAACTCTCCTTCAATCAGCACGTAAAGCAAATCACCAAAACAGCCTACTACCACCTCAAAAACATTGCCCGCCTACGCCCCTCCCTCTCCTACCCCGCAGCTGAAACCCTCATACATGCATTCATTTCATCCCGTCTAGATTATTGTAACAGTCTCCTCCATGACACTACCTCCACTCTCCTCAATAAACTTCAGCTCATCCAGAACTCTGCCGCCCGCCTCCTCACCCCCACACGCTCCCACCAACACATCACCCCCGTCCTCCAGAACCTTCACTGGCTCCCCATCCCCCAACGCATTCAGTACAAAATCCTCCTTCTCACCCACAAAGCACTCCACAACCAGGCCCCCCCCCCCCCACCTGCAAGATCTACTCCACCCCTACATCCCCCCCCGCACCCTCCGCTCCGCCAGTGCCAACCTCCTCACAGTTCCCCCAACCAAACTTGAGAACCACTGGCGTAGGCAGAGATTAAATAGCCGTTTTTTCCTGCGTTTTTCAGTCAGCTTCATATATCTTTCCCCTTTGTGTAACACTACTTTGGGCACACGATAAAAGCTTGGTTTTTTTCCCTGTTCGATCGATTTGATCAGCCGTAAACGGAGCAAAACATTGGAATGTTGCTGGTCTATATAGCAGCAACTCACTTTCTGCCCTCCATCTGTTTTGCGCGCATGCCGCGTAACACGGAAGTGATGTCAAGTGAAAACTTCTTAAAAAGAAACAGAAGAATAACAATGGAAGTGGAAATGCTTAATCAGCATTTCCACTTAATAATAATAATAATAATAATAATAAAGAAAATGGCCGACAGGAGTAACAATAAGTGGAAATGCTTAATCAGCATTAGTTTAATTGGGAACTAAATCTGTTAAAACCACGGGAAACAAACTCTTCAGAAGACTGCAGAGTGGAGGCCATCTATGTCTGCAATTCATTGACATCAATTTCTGCATATTAGAAGCAAATTAATTTTAATGTGGAGAAGGGTTAAGGATGCTTTATTTGGGACGATTTACAATTTCTAGGCATAAAATCTTGTTGTTTGTAAGCTTCCAGCCAACTTCACTGCACTTGAACTGGCTGTCAACATGATTTAGTCATTATTTTCAATTAGGGATAATGTAATTTGAGACGAGCCCCCTCATGGTTTGCCAGAGTGCAGATCATGACATCACCATCTTGCCTACTACATAAGCCTGGTGGGGAAAATGGGCCCAATAGGCATTTCTTGGCATTTAGCAGCCAAAAAGTGCTAATTTTTCTTTTCCTTATAAAAACAGTAAAGAGATTTCTTTGATGCACCACAGGCAGGAGAGTCCAAAACGATGGTTTTATCTGAAGAAAAATACACTTAAGGGCGGAATGGTTCTTAGTTATGTGGTTACACAAAAGGTTGGGTTAAAAACAACTGAATTGGAGTAGTTTCCCAACCCAGTGCTGGTTAAATATTGGACTGAACACCTGCTGGGTTAATTTTACCTAACAAATTGGGTTGGTTCACTTACCCCAATAATTGGGTTGTTTATATAACCCATTTGGGTTGCTCATATAACCCAACTAAGGGTTCACAATAACTACTCTGCTGAGTTCTTTAAACCCAGCAGTTGGGTTGTTAATATTTAATATATTTATATTCTATATTTCATATAGCACTTCGTCAGAGACTCTCAAAGTGCTTAACATTTTATACATCATTTATTCGCTCACACAGTCACACCTTGGTGGTGGTAAACTACCTTAGTAGTAATCTTGCCCTGGGGCAGGCTGACCACCACCACACCACACTCACGATCATACAGCAGTGGAGGACACACACTGGAGCAAGGTGGTTTAAGTGTTTTGCCCAAGGACATAACGGACAGACCCGGGATAGGGGGGAATCCAACCACCAACCTTCCGAACCTTAAATTGGGTGAGAAACACAAGGCTTTTTATAGCCTGAGAATTCACAAAGCATATCTGTCTTGCCAGCTGCATCACACTTCCTACAACAATATAAATGTGCAATTTATAGGTTTGCCATTGTAAAAGTGCATTTAAATTTAAATTTCTATGAGTGTAGGGTAGTTCAAAAAAGAATTCTAACAATTTACTGTCGCATAATATTGCTATAACTTAGGCTCACAACAGGTTTTTGGTCATAACACAAAAAAATGCTGGGTTGTTTTTTCAACCCAACCACGAGGCTGAGCCTGTTGGTCATATTATTTGGGTTATTTTTATGTTGGGTATTCTGAGTACCCAATTTGCAAGGTTATTTATATTGGGAACAGAGCTATTAGCCGTTGGGTTGTATTTTCTATACAGTTTTGTTGTATAGACGTTCGGGCGTTCGAAACCAAGCACCACCCACTCACCAGATTGATGCCACAACTGCTGAAGCGAGGAGATGCACAAAGCAAGGTTTGTTACATTCCCACTATTGCTTTAACATACAGATGACTTGATATTATTATATAGGCCCTCATTTTGTTGTTAAGATGTAAGTTTGTGAAGCACTGTTGTGTACCAGCTTCTGCCTGAAGGAATCAATTGGTAGGAGAGCAAGCTAATGGTTAGTGAACATTTGCAGCATAAAGTACATTGCCTCAGACATGTGGTGTGGTGTAGTCAGAAATGTTGAACTACTGCTTTCATGGACTCTCTGGGCTCTATTTTCGTGGCATGCCGGAGACGTGCCGCAGGCAGGGCATAAGTCAGGTCCGCCGCGCTGACAAGGCGTCCCCAAGCACAATTTGGTATTTTGGTGAGCGGCGCATTCCGGGGTAAGTATCCCCCCTCCCTATCTCAGCTCCTCCCAGCGGCGTGAGTCGTAGGGAGGGAGGAGAGCGGGCGTGGAGGGGATTTTAACAGCCGAGACCTGTATTGACCAATAACATCAGCTCCTCTCTTTGCCTTTAAATCCACCACCAGCGAGGCGTATTACAATTTTCGTGAAGTAGTCAAAGAGATCAAGAGATGTCTGAAGACAGTAATGCCACACGATGGCGACAGAAGGCAGCTCCTCAACAAGTGTCGCTGTAAACGCTGCAGAGGGCGTCCTTCACACTGTCTTATATAAGCACAGATGGATTTGGTGTGTGTAAGTTTAGACCCACTAGTAAGACAAACACCCTTTTCCACAAATAAAGACACTTACATAAAGTTGCATATATTCAAACCTCACGTGACAAAGGTGGGTTGTGCGCACAGATCACAACATAAATTCCAATAATGGCATTAAAATCGGAACCATCTGTGCGTAATTACACATCGCACTCAGTGGCCTGGCTCTTTCTTTCATAGATGTTGGCATATAAAAAATTAATTTGGCTCAATATTATAATATTTGTATGTAGGCTTAATCAGAATCAGAATCAGAAGGGCTTTTATTGCCATTGTCAATGAACAGGATTCACAGACTAGGAATTTTTTACGGCGTGATGGTGCAACATTAAACGGAGAATAATACATAAAATACTAGAATAAAAAATAATTAGAGCATGCAGGACATATATAAAGTATAAAAATATAAAAGGCTATGTACAATGCTATGTACAGTAAGTATAACAGGCTATGTACAACTACACAATACAGAAAAACAGTGCAGTGGGAGGAGTGCAATTAAAAAACCAAGGTACATTTAACTAAAGTGACCAGTGATAAAGTGACAGACTTAAAGTGACTGAGTTATAAAGTGTTCATGAGTCCAATGGCAGAGGGGAAGAAACTGTTCTTATGGCAGGAGGTTCTGGTCCGAATGGACTGTAGCCTCCTGGCTGAGGGGAGTGTCTCAAATAGTCCATGTGCAGGGTGAGAAGGGTCAGCTGCGATCCGACCTGCTCTTGTCCTGGAGACGTACAGGTCATGGAGAGATGGAAGGCTACAGCCGATCACCTACTCAGCAGAGCCCACAATGCGCTGCAGTCTGTGTCTGTCCCTAACAATGGCCCCGGCGTACCACACCGTGATGGAGGAGCTGAGGATGGACTCGATGATGGCCGTGTAGAACTGCACAGTCCATCAGCTGGACAGGCAGCTTGGCTTTCCTCAGCTGCCGTAGGAAGTACATCCTCTGCTGGGCCTTCTTGATGAGGGAGCTGATGGTTGGCTCCCACTTGAGGTCCTGGGTGATGGTGGTGCCGAGGAAGCGGTAGCAGTCCACAGTGGTGATGTGGGAGTCGGTGAGGTCGAGGGAGGGCAGGGGGGCTGTGGCTTTCCTGAAGTCCACGATCATCTCCACTGTCTTCTGGCTGTTGAGCTCTAGGTTGTTGCTGCTGCACCAGGTCACCAGCCGGTCCACCTCCAACCTGTAGGCAGACTCATCTCCATCCGAAATGAGTCCGATGAGGGTGGTGTCATCAGCAAACTTGATGAGCTCAACGGAATCATGGCTGGAGGTGCAGCAGTTGGTGTACAGGGAGAAGAGCAGAGGGGAAAGTACACAGCCCTGTGGAGATCCTGTGCTGAGAGCCCGAGTGTCCAAAACATTCTTCCCCAGCCGCACACACTGACTCCATTCCGTCAGGAAGTCTGTGATCCACCTGCAGGTGGAGTCAGGCACATGGAGCAGGGAAAGCTTGTTCTGGAGCAAAGCCAGAAGGATGGTGTTGAATGCAGAGCTGAGGTGCACAAACAGGATCCTAGCGTAGGATCCTGGGGAGTTCAGGTGGTGCAGGATGAAATGCAGGGCCAGGTTTATGGCGTCGTCTACAGACCTGTTGGCTCTGTAGGCAAACTGCAGAGGGTCCAGGAGGGGGTTGGTGATGGACTTCAGGTGGGATAAAACCAGGCGTCCAAAGGTCTTTATGACTACAAACGTAAGAGCCACTGGCCTGTAGTCATTAAGTCCAGTTACGTTAAGTTTTTTGGGGACGGGAACAATGGTGGAGGACTTCAAATAGGCTGGAACATGGCATGACTCCAGGGAGGTGTTGAAGATCCCCGTGAAGACTGGAGCTAGCTCATTAGCACAGTGTCTCAGAGTGGCAGGAGAGACACAGTCCGGGCCAGCAGCCTTGTGTGGAAACAGTCTGTTTACTTCCTCTTCATGGACTGAGAGGGAAGCGGGGGGAGGGGGGGAGGACCAGAGTGGTTGAATTTCCAGTTGTGTGGGGGGTGAGGGGATGTGAGTCCATGACTCCGAAGAGTGAATAGAAGCCGTTGGCTAGTTTTAGGTCGTCAGTTGAACGAGGTGCTTTGGGCTTGTAGTTGGTGATCTTGTTGCTGAGCGAGCGGACGTTGGAGAGGAAAATCCAGGTAAGGGAGTACGCGTGCCTTGCTGTTTGAGATGCGCGAGCACCCCAGCTCGCTTTCCCCTTCGCCAGCGTCTCACTCTTTTGGCCAAAAAGTGGACCAGTTCAGCAGCAGATGCCAAAAAAACTGATGTAATGTCCGTGGGTCTTGTTGATCTGATGTTTAGAAGCTCCTCACGGGTGTAGGAGCACGATGACACACGGTTAACACACAAAAACAGACAAAACAATGAGCACCAGAACACCAGGGCGCCTACTCCGGGCGTCATCTTGATGACGGTGAAAAAAATAAAGTAAATAACTCATCTGGGGCCTCATATATCAACACTTGCGTGGGACTCATACCAGAAACGAGTGCACGCAAGGTCCGTCACGCTGAAAAAAATCTGTATTTATCAAGGTGTGTGGGTGCCAAAAGCCACGTGTGTTTCCTTGATAAATCCCAATCAGCTTGGAATTGAGCGCAGATGTCGGAGAGACCGGGCCCGCCCCCGTTACGCCCTCCTATAAATATGCAGATTTATTTAAATAGGGTCTCCCTGTCCTCGCACGCAGACAAAATGACAAGAAAAACTAAATTTACGGCGTGCGAGGTGGAGGTGCTGGTGGCGGAGGTGGAGGAGCGACTGTGCGTTTTGTTTGGCAGCCTGTCCAGTGGCGTCAGTGCAAAACGAAAATGCTTGGAGTGGGAGAAAGTTTCCGAGAGGGTGAACGCGGTGGGTTCCGAGACATGCACCCCCGCGGAGATTAAAAAAAAGTGGTCGGACCTCAAGGTGGAGGTCAAGCGGCGTACAGCTGCCCTCCGGAGGAGTACCAGCCAGACAGGTGGGGGTCCGGGGGAGGAGACCCTCACGCCATTTGAGCAGCGGGTGTCGGCGATTATGGGGGGTGCCTCTGTGGGGGGGATTGTCGCCGCTACCCGTGGCGACTCAGACAGCCTGCCGGAGGGTAAGTGGCGTGTCACACAAATGTCCACATGCTTTGCCATAGATGTAAACGCAACAGATACACAGAAGCAGGAATTGAAATGAACCAATATTTTTATTGTGTCACAGAAATCAATGTGTCGGCCGTGTGGCAGGCTTGTGTAACCCCGGTCCGCGGCAGCCCGTCCGCCGGCTCAGAGTCGTCGGCCAGGACCAGCGGCATTCGGGCCACCCCCGGCCCCAGCACCAGCACCAGCACCAGCGTGCCGACAAGCGGTGGAGTGTCCACCAGCTGCGGCGCTTCCGCTGGACCACCCGGACGCACTGGAAGGGTCCTCACGGAGGCGGTCCTGCAATCACAGGAACAAATAATTAGGGGGATCGCGGGGATCAATGAGCGGCTGGACCGCCTTGTAAATGTCCTCGAGCGTCTGGTGGACAAAGTAAATAATTTGGCTCATTAAACTGTGTATTCACTTCTTACCCATTCACATCGTGGCGATGAGATTCTCCCACGCGAGAACGGCAGCCCGGCAGGGATCAGCTCGCATCCCTCTGTCTGCTGCTGGTTTGTGATTAGGGGCGACGTGCTACTTGGCCATGGGGATTTGGTGCAGGTGTGCCACATTGTGGAGGACGCCACACGCCATCACAATCCGGCACACCTTCTCAGGACGATACATGAGTACGCCGCCACTCCGGTCCAGACAGCGCCACCGACCCTTTAACTGGCCGATGGCCCTCTCCACCACTGACCGAGAGCAAGAGTGGAGATGGTTGTACCTCCACTCTCGGTCAGTGTGGGGGTTGTGGAGAGGGGTCATCAGCCAGGTCCTGAGGGGGTAGCCACTGTCACCTTCAGAAAAAGCATAGTGTGTCAAGTCTTGGGCTTTATTGTAATAATAGCAAGCAATAAGCAATCAATAACCCACAACATCCATCGAGTACTCGCAATCAAACACAGAGTACAATACATCAGTGTTGCACACATTTGCTTCAAGTCACTGATGCATGTCGAGTTTCTTGAATAACATTATATCATTACATATTTACTCACCCAGCAGCCACCCGTCTGTCACTGCACCTGCCTGGAGCCTCTCCCCAACAGTGCTGTTGTACAGGATGTGCGAGTTGTGGGTTGAACCGGGCCACCTCGCAACAATGTTGAGCAGATTCATCTGCGCATCACAGATGATCTGCACATTGATCGAGTGAACGCCTTTACAGTTGACGTAAGCGTACTCGTCATCGGACGGCGCTTTTATGGCAACATGAGTGCAGTCAATAGCTCCGATTACGTTTGGGAATCCGGCTATTGCGTTTTAATATTGGCCTGTTCAACCGCACCGTAGGGGAATTTGATGTACCTGTGGGAGAGGCGGATCAGCTGGTCCACCACCGTGGGCATGGCCCGGCTGATGGTGGGCTGGCTCACCCCAGAACGGTCCGCCATCTCCCGCTGGAAGGAGCCTGTGGCCAAGAAGCCGAGTGTGCCCAGCACCAGCGTTGGCACGGGCACCGCTCGGCTTCTGGCCGTTGTGCGCTGGAGCGCCGGGCGGAGCTCCTCACACAGCTCCAGGAGGATGGCCCGCGGTAGCCGGAACCGGCTCACGAGCCACTCGTCAGAGTTCTGGAGCAGGTCCTCCCGCTCCATAAAGTGACGCTCACGTTGGATGGCACGGTTTTCCATGTCTTCTAGGAGAGCAAGTGCTGCCATTGTTGAATGTTGTCTTCTCTATTTGTAGTTGTAGTTGTATGAGTTCTTTTTTAGCCCCTCCAGTAATACCGACAGGTGTTCGTGTTTGTGTTAATGTGTTACACATTAACACAAACACGAACACCTGTCGGATTAACAGTTAATCCACTGCAATGTGTGAACGCTTGTCACATAGTGAGTCACTAAACACTGCCACACAGCGTCGCCAAAGTGCCGTCAACGCAAGTATTGGCTCAACGCCAACTTCTACACCACCTCCTCACTTTGCGTTGATTAGCGCTGGAACCGACGCTCGTGTCGCGATGATAAATCTGGACGTGTGCGCCGATCTTGGCGAATGCAAGGCACCGCCAGCGTTGATACATGAGGCCCCAGATCACTGAAACAAATCATCTGTTAAGCTGGACGGGGAGAGGACATGGAGACATGTCTAGGTCGAGCGGCGCGAGAAATAAGAGGAAGAGGAAGAAAGAAAGGGAGACGAATTACATATCTTGTTAACTTCATTATGTGTGTCTATTTACTAGATATTTAATCTAATTGAATGCGGTTTCAGCTATGTTGATTCGGTCAGGTAGTGTATCCAAACGCGTGCCAAATGCGCTCATCAGATCAAATATAGATCACAATATATCAATATAGATCTATATGTATGTGCTAACTTAGATTATTAGTTGTTGTTGATTATTTATTGCACTGAAATGTGCCTGACACTGTGCCGCTGGTTTACCAAAATACCTCTAGACCAGCTGCGCTCCGTCTGTGCTGAAAGCTGACCAGGTTTGAATCTGCGAGCTTTCAGCACACATACGCCACCGGCGAGCACGAAAATGTCACTGTGCCAGCTGATTCTGTCGACACCTCCCCCTGCCTCGCCACCACGCCCAGCTTGGCAGACCCTGGTGCGGTTCAGTCCACGAAAATACCAAACTGGCTGTACGCAATGAATGATGTATCCAATGTAAAGCCCTTTGAGGGTCTCTGATAAGGTGCTATATGAAACCTGATGCATTAATGTAATTTGATATTATATTAAATATTAACAACCCAACATCTTGGGTTTAAAGAACCCAGCAGAGAAGTTATCGTAAACCCTTAGGTGGGTTATATTAACAACCCAGTTGTTGGGTTAAGTGAACCAACCCAATTAGTTGTGTAAAATTAACCCAGCATGTGTTCTGTCCAATATTTAACTCACACTTGGTTGGAAAACTACCCAATTTGGGTTGTTTTTAACCTAATGTTTTTAAGAGTGTGGCTTACGGCTTTTTAGCTCCCAATTTAACAATCTTTCCATAAAGTACTCTTTTATCAGATCACTTTTTATCAACTTTTGGCTTTGTCCTCTTAGTCTTGACTCCAAAAACTTGCTAACCAGAAGCTTGTCTGATAGTTTTCACCTATTACGTCTCCTGGTTTCTTCAAGACACTTGACCATAAACTTCCCCCCGCTGGCCGCATCCAGTGGTGTGTGAATGGATTTATTAATACTGATGGGTGTTACACAGCAGCCTCTGCCGTCAGTGTGTTAACATGATGACAATGGGTGAATGTGACATGTAATGTAAAAGCGCTTTGGTGGCCAAGGTTATGTAAGCTGAAGCAGGGCAAGTATTGAAGGGAAGATACTTTGAGGTGGAAGAAGAGTTTGAGAATAACAGGGAATGGCAGAATAAATGGGGACGAGAAAGACAATAGAGATAGAAGACTGTAGAGAATCAAAGAATCAGAGAGAAGTATAATCCAGCACAGGGGTGAGAGACTAAAAAATAGATGTGTGGCAGAGTAGGAGTAAAAGGCCCAAAATTGAGGGAGAGACAGTCAGAGAAATAGACAGACAGACAGAATGGAATGGAGAGAGAGAGAGAGAGAGAGAGAGAGAAAGAATAAGGAGGGGGTGGTTGCTATGGCTGTGTTTGTGCTTGTGATTACAACACCATCTTAGCAGCAGTACACTAATCCTGGTATTAAAACCTCCTCTGATTCTCTAAAGCAGATTACCTTCTGCCCTCCTGATGGACGATTACCAGTGCCTAATACTTTGGTCATGTTAGACAGATGAAAATGTTCACTTGTTCTACTTTTCATCAATATTTCTTGAACTATCAAAACACAACTGCCAGACAATGATGAGGATAAAAGGAAGGTAGGCAGGAGAGTAACCTCATGCACACACTGTAGTATTAAATACTACATGCTTGTGTTTGTCCTGAGGTCTTTTGTCAGCTCCCCTGTTTTTCAAGGTGCATTTCAACTCCTGCCCTGTCATCTAAAAAAGTCCCTCAGAACAATAAGAAACCATTAGGCTAAGAGTGCAGGTATTTTGAAACAAGTCTTAAATACAACAGCTGAATGAGTGCCATTCATACCCCTTAGCCTACTTCTGAGAGACAGAGAGCATCAATAGAACTGTTACTGTCCAGTTTATTGGAAACATCAAATCAGCCTCTTAGAAAAAAGGATTTTAAGTCTGATTGTTGTTATTGGCTATTTTTGATTTACTTGCAAGTTGCTGGCACCACTGAGTCTCAGTGAAAAACACTACCTTAAAGAAAAAGACTTGCACCTTGCATGTTTTGCCACAGTACTAATGCATCTTCATGCAAATAAAAAAATGCTGGGTTGTTTTTTCAACCCAACCACGAGGTTGAGCCTGTTGGTCATATTATTTGGGTTATTTTCATGGAGTTGATATTCTGAGTACCCAATTTGCAAGGTTATTTATGTTGGGAACAGAGTTATTCGCTGTTGGGTTGTAATTTCTACAGTTTTATTGGTTCATTGTGGACTACCTAACACATTGGTTAGACATTGAGGCATTTGAAACCAAGCACCACCCACTCACCAGACTGATGCCACAACTGCTGAAGCGAGGAGACGCACAAAGCAAGGTTTGTTACATTCCCACTATTGCTTTAACATACAGATGACTTGATATTATTATATAGACCCTCATTTTGTTGTTAAGATGTATGTTTGTGAAGCACTATTGTGTACCAGCTTCTGCCTTCAGGAATCAATTGGTAGGTGAGCAAGCTAATGGTTAGCCAACATTTGCAGCATAAAGGGCCTCAACCATAGCAAGCTAACACGTTAGTTGATGTGTGGTGTGGTGTGGTTAGAAATGTTGAACTACTGCTTTCATGGACTCTCTGTCTTGATGTTTCAGGTTGATTTAAACAATCATTGGATGACTTTGTGATGTGGAGTGAAGTGGAGTGAATGCAAGATACAACCTCCTGTTCTGTATTGTTTATTTTGAAAAGATAAGAAAACCATATAAAAAAAAGAAAACTGGCAAATGTTTACAAACTCCAAAGTTCATTCTTTGTCAGTAAGCTGGACAGGGAGCTGGTAAGGGGTGGCAGTTGCTCAGGAGGTAGAGCGGTTGTCCAATAACTGGAAGTTTAGTGGTTTGATCCCCCGCTATCCCAAGTGTGTCCTCCCTCTGTTGTGTCCTTGGGCAGGACACACAGGACACACTTAAACCACCTTGCTCCCAGTGTGTGTCCTCCACTGGTGTATGATTGTGAGTGTTGTGTCGTGGTGGTTGGTTAGGCCGTAGATGCAAACTGGCAGCCACTTTTCCATCAGGCTGCCCCAGGGCAGCTCTGACTACTAAGGTACAAAACCCAATTCCATTAAAGTTGGGAAATTGTGATAAACGTAAATAAAAACAAAATGCACTGATTTGCAAAGCCTTTTCAACCAATCTTCAATTGAGTTCACTACAAAGAGGATATCGCCACATGGGCTCAGGCCCGAGCTCATCTGAGATGGACTGATGCAAAGTTGAAAAGTGTTCTGTGGTCTGACGAGTCCACATTTCAAATTGTTTTTCAAATTGTGTACACCGTGTCCTCCGGGCCAAAGAGGAAAAGAACCATCCGGACTGTTATTGATGCAAAGTTCAAAAGCCAGCATCTGTGATGGTATGGGGGTGCATTAGTGCCAAAGGCATGGGTAACTTACACATCTGTGAAGGCAACATTAATGCTGAAAGGTTTTGACAGGTTTTAGAGCAGCATATGCTGCCATTCAAGCAACCAGTGAGGCATCGGTGACATATGCCTATACGCTGCCGGTCTACCAAAATACCACTAGACAAGCTGCGCTCCACCTGTGCTGAAAGCTGACCAGTTTTGAATCTGCGAGCTTTCAGCGCGCTTTTTACGCCACCGCCGAGCACGAAAATGTCACCGCGCCAGCTGATTCTGTCGACATCTCCCCTGACTGCGCCACCATGCCCAGCTCGGCAGACCTCGGTGCACCTCAGTCTACGAAAATACCTAACTGGCTGTACGCCGAGCTCTGCCAGACGAAAATACCTCTGTGCGGGGTCTGCCACCCTCCACGGTGTTGCCGGCGGACACAAAAATAGAGCCCAACGTCTTTTTCATGTGTTACAACAGCGTGGCTTCGTAGTGCAGGTACTTGACTGGCCCAACCTTTCAAAGAGGAAATTGTACTTAAGACATTGTTAAGATTAGTTAACACATTGTAACCTCACGGCACTAATCAGCTTAAATGAACACTCTAAAGCTGGTCCTGGAAGGACAATACGCTCCTAAAAACATTGGCTTAAAAATAACCCAATTTGGGTAGTTTCCCAACCCAGCACTGGTTAAATATTGGACAGAACAAATGCTGGGTTAATTTTACCCAACTAATTGGGTTGGCACACCTTACCCAACAACTGGGTTGTTTGTATATCCAAATTGGGTTGTTGATATGACCCAACTAAGGGTTCACAATAACTTCTCTGCTGGGTTCTTTAAACCTAGCATGTGGGGTTGATAATATATTATTAAATTACATTAATGCACCAGATTTCATAAAGCGCTTTACCAGGGACCCTCAAAGGGCTTTACATTGGATACATCAATTATTCTCTCACAAAGTCACACCTTGGTGGTGGTAAACCACCTTCGTAGTTATAGCTGCCCTGGGTCAGACTGACGGAAATGTAGCTGCCAGGCTGCATCTACAGCCTCTCCGACCACCACTATACAACACTCACAATCATACACCATAGTGTATGATTGTGAGTTTAGCATAGTGGGTTAAGTGTCTTGCCTAAGGACACAACAGACGGACACAGGATGGGGGTAATCGAACCGCCAGCCTTCCGTTTCTTGGACAACTTATCTACTTCCTGAGCAACTGCCACCCCTTAACAGCTCTTTTTCCATTTTATTGATGGAGAATGAAGTTTGGAGTTGTAAACATTTGGTAGTTTTCTTTTTTTTTTTTTAATATGGATTTCTTATCTTTTCAAAATAAACAATACAGAACAGGAGGTTGTATCTTGCATCCACTCCACTCCACGTCACAAAGTCATCCACTGATTGATTATATCAACCTGAAACATCAAGACAGAGAGTCCATGAAAGCAGTAGTTCAACATTTCTGACCACACCACACCGCACCTATGTGTGTCCTTCCTGATCTGGGAGGGACTTTGCGAGTGCACTAAAGCTTGATTGAGCTTGAAAGAAACATGCCTTTGGTAGGATCTGCGGGTCCTGCCATAGGAAAGATACATTTTCATTAGCATAATGCTGAAAAAGCAGCGCTCCTGGAATGGGATTGGCCCAGGGTGATTATCAGCAACATTGAAAGATAATGCAAAGGTGATACTCAGGAGAACAACAACTGTAGGTGTGGTTCTCCAAGTGAGGAGACCTTCCCTTTAACCAATGGCTCTTTATCCATTCAAGTGTCTTGGGATAACAGCTGATGTGAATTGACTCGATATGAACAAAGATTCCCAACAATAATCAGAGAGACTCCCACCTACACTACCTTTAAAAGGCAGCTAATACAGTGGCTAAATTTACAAACCCGGGCACTAGGCACTTTAAGGCACTTGGTTCTTTGAAGCACTAGGCACTTTCTATGCACTAAGCACCTTCCACCAGTGGTCTCCTCTGCCTCTGTTTTTATATTTGTCGTGTTTGTCGTCCGCTACTGTATTGTTGTCTGTTGTTGTTGCTTTTCTGTTTGAGGACAACGGATGGAAATTAGCCTTAGCTAACTCTGGCTGGTTTACAATGAGAATAGACATACATATTTCTTGTATCATGTCTTCTTCTCCTTGTCCATGAACTGGTACTGTCCTGTCTAAATAAATGAATAAATGAAATAAATGAAATGAAATGATTGATTGATAAATTGATTGATTGATTGCGGGGCAGTTGACATGGATATTTCTATCAGTCACACCACTACATGGCCCATGCACAGGGACTCTAATTCCCAAGTCCATGTGTGGTGAACAATGAATGGAACAGGAGTGGCCTTGACATGGAGAGATGGGCAGTCCATGTTGTTTATATTGTAGTCATGCATCCCTCACATGCAATGCTTCTGGCTCCTGCTCTCTTATACTTGAATCTACGTATGACAGCAGTGTCCTAAGGTTAGTAAGAAATATTACCTCAAACTCTAGCCATGTGTTGTATGGAGAATATAGGCTGCTGCCCTCAGGAAGGAGATATGGTGTTCCAGCATACAATAAAGTCAGACTAAAAAGGTCCTTTGTCTACCAGTCGACCTTAAGGCTTAATCAGGAGTTGGGCCAGGGGTAAGCAGGGTGGTGGACTTTGCCCCCTGTCCTCATGTCTTTATGTATGTAATGTATGTTTTTGTGTCTCTGGTGTCCATGTCAAATGTGTGTATGTGCCTCCTTTTTTGCATACATGCTGCTGTTGTCACAAGACAAATTTCAGCGTAAGCTAACTAATAAAGTAATATATCATCATATCATATCATATAAATCTATGTTGTCTTTTGTCACAAAATTGCAGTAATAAATTGAAGTCTGATCCTCTCTTCTCCAAGCAGTAGCTAGAGCTTTGGGACACTCTTTAGCCTAGAGAATGCAAAACTTCCTCTGGTTCTGATGAGAATTTACAAATGAGGAAACATCGACAGCTGTTTCTGTCATAAATGAAGCAACAGAATAGGACTAAAATTCATGACACAGAGTACGCTCCAAAAACCAAAGGCGAAGTGTATTTGCAGACAGAGTTCGGTACATAAAAAGGCATTTAAACAAGGCAGATGTTTCCACAAACATGAGGAAAAAGGCAAGGTCAAAAAGTATCAAACATGACTATGACTTTGAGCATAAGAGATGCTGGGACATGAACCGGGGAACAACATACTGGCAACAAGACAAGGTGGGGCAGGGCAGACCGGAACCTGAAACAGAGACAATGGTAAGTGATCACAAAATAAAACAGGAGGCACAAGACATAAAACAGGAAGGTAAAACAAAATACTTAACAGAAATGGACGGATATGACAGTTTCTTACTGGTCGAGTCACCTGTCCCTCAGTTGTAAGGCTGGGAATTCAAATCCCAGCTCCTATTGTGGACATGCTGAAGTGTAAATCTAATGCAGAATCAATATAATGTCTTTACTATACATTTTGCTGAGGCGAATGACCCAATTTTGGTTTGATATTGACACAAAGCATTAAAGGTGGGGTAAGCAGGACTCCGTTAAAGAAGCATCTGTTTTTGTGGTGTATATACAAAAAAGCTTTTAATATCAGTCAATAGCTATTAATTATTGATTACATTTGGTAATATTAGTTAGTTAGTATCGCTGAGGTTCTTTATGCCTGTGTAGTCAATATTCTAAAACTTTTGAGCACCCTGTTCATTCTGACTGTAACCAAAGCCGTTCTCCACCTCCCTGACCTGATTGGTTGTGAGGTGGACACTGCTCCTTAGTGCTAATTGGTTGTGGGGCAGACACTGCTCCCTTGTGTTGTTAGGCATGCTCCATGTCCTTAAATAACAACCACGAGCCCAAACAAAGTTGTATCAGACAGTAGAAACCAACCAGAAAGTAGGGAAAATTGTCTGAATCCTCCTTTGGTCATGACTGCCAACACAAGCAAGAAAATTAACTAAATACCGGAGACTGGCAGAATAACAGGCACCTAAAAAGGAGGTAGACTGGACAAGAGCTAAAAACCCGGGTCAATATAAATAATGGGGGAGGCTTTGGGATCTTACAGACCCTGTAACCTTTCTGCTGGACAGGTAAACTGCTTTAACAGAGTAAGCTAAGTGTCTGTAACAGAAGTGTTTCTTGTCAAACGGGGCTTGCTGCGTGTTGCAGCTCCACTAAACTGTTTACATCAGGTCTTGGAGTATGTCATTTTATCCTAGTTTTAGAAGTCCTGCAATTGTCTGAATTATTTATGATGTGCAATTATTTATTTATCTGAAGTATTTATCTGCATTATACCTGAATTTAATTGGAATGATGCAAGTGAGCACTAGTGTTTGTAGGCTGGAGCAGTGTGTGTGTGGTTGGGATGGGTCGTGTTTACATTCAAGGTTTCTCCCAAAAACTGGCACTTCCTCAGATCCTGCCTACCCCACCTTTAATGGAAATGGGAAGTGACATGCCCAGAGGCTTAATGGACCATTATCACCCAAATACATGCAAAAATGTAGACAAATCAATTGGTGGAACTGAGCCTTGGAGAAAAAAAAAAAAAACACCCTAAATACTACTCCCACTACTCCTCACCACTCGGACAAGTAACTAGACATGATACTCTTGGATGCAGTATGAGTTGGCTCTTTTGTTTGCTGTGGGTGGAGTAAAAACTGATCCTTCAGTTAAGTTGGGCCCAACTCAACCATAGAGAGGGACAGGGTCTAGGGTCTCAGGTATATCTACCTTCAGAGAGCGTGTCTTGTTCCACTTGAAGAGAGGGAGCATTTGTTGATTTCCCAGAGAGTTGGGATCATCATTCCAGGTTTCACTTCCTGTATCATGATCCCATTAGTCCAGTTCAACATACTGGAGCCATGGATGTTTGTAGTTATTTAGTTCCGTTTTTCCCCACTCAAAATGAAACGTCGTTATCCTCACTAGTAATAATTTGGGGACTGAGAGAATAGGAAACCTAATCAAGGGTCTTAGTTAATGCGGTCTCAAGTTCCAATCTAAAGTTATAAGTTTCACAGTGACCTAAGCTACTGAGAATAGTAGTCAGTTGTCTACTCGGTTAAATTGGTGTATGGTGCAGAGGAGAATATGCTTTGGTGTTGTGTCGTTCGCGAGTGAACATACTAAACCGCATCACTTTCTGAAGTGATTCGTTCTTTTCTCAGTTCAGTTGAGCTGCCATAGCATGCAGCATTACCGAGCAAGCAGTCGGGCCGGGTGAGCCGCTGCAGGGAGTGAAAGAGGGAAAGAGGGACCGCACGGTGACGGCACATGCACTTGAATCACATGGTGAACGATCAGTCAGTGAACTGAACTACACTCTCCGGAATCATTTTCGTCTGAGGGATACACTTTCATGGCGGTCCGTTTCTCCCCATTGTTTTAATAGCAATAATGAGAAGAGAGTGAGACTCACCAGCTGTAGCAAGCTCTTGGCAGGGGCAACAAAGGGAGACCAGGATATGTTGTCTTCATGTGTACCCCGGAGAAAACTAACTTTTTTGAACATTTTTTAATGCACAGTATTTATAGTTGGTTTTACCTCGTCATTTTGCTCTTGATTTAATATTGGTTTCTTTTACATTGCACATTTAAGTTGATATTTTTTTAATATTTTTGGACACACAGTATTTATACTTGTTTTTACCTCATCATTTTCTTCTTGATTTGATATTTCTTTTATATTGTATATTTAAGTAAATATTTTCTAAATGTACAGCTTTTACAGTAGTTTTTATTTCGTCATTTTGCTCTTAATTTAGGATTTGTTTTGCACTCACAATTGTGGGTTAGTCCATACCTGTTTTTCTTGTATTTTTCCTGGTTATTTGTAGTGTGATGTATAGTTCCTACAGAATAACAATAAAAAACAATTTTGTCACTACCTTGTTTACAATGTGTGGTGTAGCTACCCACTACCTGAGAAAATGTGTGACTGTCTGATTGTGACATTTTGCAGGGGAATGGTGTATGGTCAGTGTGGGGTATAGGTTCAGTACACAAATCACTCACAGACAGAGCCCATTTAACAGAGTAGACCAGATAAATAGCATATCATTGGACAGTATACTTAAAACATAATGATTTATAAACAAGTTCATTTTTACAAACATGTTTGTCAAAGTAACACAGCTACAACACTCCTGTCTCCTGGTCCCAGAAGCTATGAACTGAACTGAATCCTGAGCAGTTCAGCTGTGTATCAGTTCAGGGAGTCGAAATCACAGGCTCCTACTGCCAAGCACTGAATGATTTGGTGAACGAATCTTTTGAATGAATCTTTTTAGTGAACTGATTCTAGTGATTCAGTTCATCTAAAAGAACTGCCATGCCCGTCACTAAATTGCTAAGGTGACTTTCACTCTCAATTTTTTAGGACATGACTTGCCCTGGAATAATATGCTGGTCTAAATGCTGGTCTCACATTTGGGCTTATTCTGACAAAACGACAGCTCCTATCAGAAAATAAGCAGACCTCTGTCTTCATAAGGATTTCCTGAATGCTTTGATATGATTTTGGTGTTTCTACAGAAATAGATTGGACATACTTGCAAGTTATAAGCAGGAGTTCCTTCTGCTTCTTTCAGAAAATCACTATTAGCTGCAATGAGGAGCAATCACTTTGCTGCACTGAGAGCCTCAGTGTTTAAATTCTGTAAGTCTCTCCTTTGATAAACACATCGTTAGAGGCAGTACAAGTGTGTCTACAACTGTGGGAAAAAAAAACGTATGTGTCGAGTGTTATTTCTGGCTGGGAGGAGTGAAGAAAGATAAAAGTTTCAGATAATTTCATGCAACTCCTCTCAATCTAGCCGATAAAGTTACCAAAAATGGCATGAATGTTCCACACAATACACACACACAACCCTGCAAACCCACAAAATTATGTGTGGGGTTCCCCAGGGAACAATTTTAGGTCCAACTCTTTTTAATCTCGACATGCTTCCCTGGGAGACATCCTCAGTAGGCATTGCATCAGCTTCCACAGTTATGCTGATGATGCACAACTGTACATGGCCGTGTCTCCTGATGACAGCAAGCCAATTGATGCCCTTTTAAACTGCACTTTAGACATTAAGTCCTGGATGGCAGCCAATTTTCTGCAGCTCAACCAGGACAAAACAGGGTAACACTTTACAATGACCACCTGTTATAAAGCATTTATTAACATTTATAAGCAGTTTGTAGATGATTAGTAAACATGAACAAACTGTTTATTGACATTTGTAAGTGTATAACTTTACATTTACAAACTGTTTAAACATCATTTGTATGTTGTTATTAAGGCATTAGTAAGTAGTAAATTAATCATGAACAAACCATTTATATACGTTTGTAAATGATTAATAAATCATTTGTAATTAAAATTATACATTATTTATATTCTATTTGTAGATAAGTTACCCTAAAGTAAGGTCTATTAAGGTGACTTAAATGTTTGTTCATGTTTAATATATGCTTTGCAAAACATTCCTTAAATATCTATAAACCATCAGTAGATGTTATTAAGAGCCCTAATGTAAAGTGAAGACTATTCATTATTTATAACTGTCATTTAAGGCAACCTCAGTGCTTGTTCATGTTTAATATATGCTTTACAAAACATTCCTTAAATACCTATAAATCAGTAGTTGATGTCATCAAGAGCCCTAATGTAAAGTGAAAACTATTCATTATTTACAAGTATTTGTTAATGTTGCCACCATGTTTGTTCACATTTAACAGACATTCGTAAATAATGAATTGTCTTCACTTTACATTAGGGCTCTTGATAACATATACCAATGATTTATAGATGTATTAGTAATGTTTTATAAAGCATTTGTTAATGTGGACTTTGTACTTACCTGTTACAAACTTCCCGGCCTTCATGGGTGCTGACACGACACACGACTAGAATTCTCATGTTTCGCAAATGATTTGTGAGACAGTGCTAAGGATTAAAAAATATAAAAAACATTTGCATATGTTATGGTGTGCCCTGTCCAACTAGTCCAAGAGGCTGCCTTACAGACCAAGTATTCTACATTATTTCATGTTTAACACAATGATCAGTGAAAGATTTAAACAATCTTGTACCACAATAAATGTGACAGACGTAACGGTGTAGAGAACAGCATTTAACATTTAATTCCAATATAAATTTATAAAACATTTACCCTGACAGTCAAACGGAGCATTTTCCTATAAAATGTAAACACTTAGAGAACAGGCAATCAGTGCAATATAGGAGGGTCATTTTCAGCACCAGGACAGGAAATCAGTGCAATAGAAGAAAAATAATAATGTACACACTTTGAACAACGTCCTTTGTAGAGAACCGGCAATTAGTGCAATATAAAGTCCTTTTCAGCACCAGGACAGGAAATCGGTGCAGTAGAAATAAAATAATAATAATAAAGGAAATACTGCACACCGTCTTCACTCACAGGAGTAGTTCATTAAGCTACTATAATATTTATCTGATGCCTAATAACCTCCTCCTGTGAGTGAAGACAGTGTGAGGGACCTCCATTTTTTAAGTAGCCAACACACCCTTTAAAACAATTTAAATATCTGGACTGGAGGTAACCTACTTCAGGTATGGTCACACCACACTTTTATTCCACCTATAAGGACAGATTCTGCCAATGTATTTAAAGAGGTAAATGGAGTGCTAGGAAGAATAAAAGCGTGGTGTGACCTTGCCCTTAAAACTGTGATCCGAAAAAGAAAAAAAAAAGGGAGATTATGTTCTCTTTGAGATCGGGAGTAGTTTCCCTTCATCCTTAAGCTTATCTACCTTAGCCATCAATTCGGGGTCCTCACTGAGGACCTTTGAACATTCCTGCACAAATACATTCAGCTTCTGCGACCTAGAATAGCCCTGCAGAACGTCAGCATATTTATCCGGTGCGGATATGGCGAGCTCTGGAATGGAGGCGCTGGTTGTAATGGTGTTTTTGTTGACGTCCACAGCGTTGTAGCTCTCAGATAGATTTTTGCCCTTCTGGAAGTGACCCAGCACCTTCTTGTACCTCTCAACCACCTGCTGAGGATTCATTGCTGAAATGAAAAATACAAAGAGAAAAATCGTTTTATGAAATTTGATATAGCAGACCTACGATTGTAGCTGTAGATCTCTGCTGTCATTAGGGCCCGAGCCAGCTGCAGAGCAGCCGGGCGTAGGCCCTGTTATTCCTGTAGTGGTTTTTCTTTGTTTCTTTTTAGGGCCCGAGCCAGCTGCAGAGCAGCCGGGCGTAGAGCCCTATTATTCCTGTATAGGTTTTTCTTTCTTCTTTCTTTCTTTCTTTAGGGCCCGAGCGTAGCTGCTAAGCAGCTGCGAGAGCCCTCTTGTTCCTGATGGATTCTTTAGGGCCCGAGCGTAGCTGCTAAGCAGCTGCGAGAGCCCTATTATTCCCCAAGTGGTTTTTAGGGCCCGAGCGTAGCTGCTAAGCAGCTGCGAGAGCCCTATTATTCCCCAAGTGGTTTTTCTTTGTTTCTTTCTTAGGGCCCGAGCGTAGCTGCTGAGCAGCTGCGAGAGCCCTATTATTCCCCAAGTGGTTTTTCTTTGTTTCTTTCTTTCTTTAGGGCCCGAGCGTAGCTGCTAAGCAGCTGCGAGAGCCCTCTTGTTCCTGCATGTTTCCTTCTTTAGGGCCCGAGCGTAGCTGCTAAGCAGCTGCGAGAGCCCTATTATTCCTGATGGATTCTTCTTTCTTCTTCTTCTTCTTCTTCTTCTTATTAGGGCCCGAGCGTAGCTGCTAAGCAGCTGCGAGAGCCCTCTTGTTCCTGATGGATTCTTCTTTTGTTATTATTATTATTATTAGGGCCCGAGCGTAGCTGCTAAGCAGCTGCGAGAGCCCTCTTGTTCCTGATGGATTCTTCTTTTGTTATTATTATTAGGGCCCGAGCGTAGCTGCTAAGCAGCTGCGAGAGCCCTCTTGTTCCTGATGGATTCTTCTTTTGTTATTATTATTATTTTTCCTCCGCTTTAAACTGGAAAATGGCCCACTTCCCACTGGCGAAAACTCATGAAATTTGGCAGGACGACCGGGCCTGGTGAAAAATTCGATATTCTGAAGTCGCCCAAACAAGAAAATGCAAAATGGCTCCATAGCGCCCCCTAAGGTGAAAATTCACACTATTGACTGTCACGCCTGTACGCTTTGTCATATTGACACAAAAATTGACACACACATGTATCTCAATAAGATCTACAAAAAAGTCAGTGCGGGCGTATCTGTCAAATGTACGGTTAATGGGTTATTTTGCATTTTTTGCAGATCTGCACACATTGGAATTTCGCTAACTCCTCCGAAGGCTTTCGTTCGACCGGCACCACATTTGCGCAGGCCAATCTACCCCCCATGGCCATTAAAAGTTGTACAAATCATGACGCTGCACCCCACGGTTTACGTTCTAGGGGGCGCCAAAAATAACCCAAAATCCACATTCTTAAAAGTCTTATAACTTTTTATTTTTGTCCTCACTGCCCTCCAAGTTTTCTAGGATGATGCAATGTCCAGCCATCAACACATTTGTGAAGGAATTTTTACTCCCCAAAAGAGCGCCCCCCCATGGCAGGAGAAAAAAGTCCTTTTTTTCTTGTCCCCTTACATGAAAATACACATTGTTGAGTGTCACGCCTGAACGCTTTGTCATATTGACACAAAAACTGACAATCATGTGTATCTCAATTAGATCTACGAAAAAGTCAAAAAGCGCGTATCTGTATAATGTACGGTTAAAGGGCTATTTCGCATTTTTTGCCGATTCGCACACATTGGAATGTGGCTATCTCCTCCTAAGACTTTCGTCCCACCGATACCAAATTTGCTCAGGGCAATCTACACCCCATGCCCATTCAAAGTTGTAAAAATCATGACGCTGCACCCCACGGTTTACGTTCTAGGGGGCGCCAAAGATGACCCAAAAATCCACATTCTTAAAAGTCATTTTGGCCACTGCAGGAGTACAGAGTACTGCAGTTCTAGGGGGCGCCAAAGATGACCCAAAAATCCACATTCTTAAAAGTCTTTTTGGCCACTGCAGGAGTACAGAGTACTGCAGGATGCACACACATACACACACACACACACACACACACACACACACACTCAGAGTCTGTTTTTTAGCACCTGCAAAAACATGCTGTTTACATATTTGACAAGAATGCAGAGGCTTCCTTTTGCCCCTGAAAAAAATCAGATTTCAAACACAACTTGACTGTTCATTTCTCCAAAAGACAACCATGAAGCTCCATCCAAACCTGAAGCAGATAGTTGGTGCATGTGTACAGTAACCTGAGGGGAGTGAGGTGACTATTTCTGAGGAGAACATGAGCAGTGAAGATTCACCTTGGAGCTAGAACAGGGACGTGCACATGATTATACAGGGGCAGGGGCTCAAGTTTTTTCCAGTCATTTATACAATATGGAAATTAATGTGAAATTAAACCACAAATATGTGTGATGAACTGTTTTTAAAACTTAAACTTCAAATAAAAATTGTAAACTTCAAAACATATGCAAATTTTTAACAAAGAACATAGTAATTTACCTCTATTTACATCAAAATGCAGGCAATGGCCCAGGCGTTCTTTGTAAAATTATTTACAAAAGACTGTATAGTCTCACAAATGTCACTTTTTATTTATGCCACTACAAAAAAACATGATGTAAATGATGCATGATGTAAAACATGATGTAAAAAACTTGTGTAGATCCTCCTCTATGTCAGTCCATGTGTAATTTTTCCATAATTCTTTGTTTTTTGCAGCATTTTTGTTAGTGTAACTGCAGATTGTGCTGACAGTCTATGGCAAAAAAAACAAAAACTGAAAATGCCTCAACATGAACCCCTGGTGGTCTCTGAGGGTGAAACCTGCTAACTGCTGCAGCTCTGTCAGCTTCAGTCTCCCATGCAGAGCTCGGAGCGCATGTGTGGCTCTGCACCCTTAGCAGCGTTGCTAACTCCTCAGTAAGGAAAGCCTGCTTCATGTCAGAGTCTCTAAACTCCAGAAGAAGTCGATAAAAGTCCCTTTCTTTCAAAAAAAAAGTCGTTAGGGGGTCTGAAAAGTCATTGAATCTAACAACAAAGTCGCTAGGTTTGCAACTACGTGTCCCAGACTGCATCCCTGCTGAGAGTCCCTCCCTCCCTTCTCATGTTGCAGGAAGAACGTAAGCGCCCGCCCCTTGTCAATCAGTCACCATATAATTTTGGATTGGTTGTTGTGGTGAAGTTTTCCACCAATAGGAGAGATGTTGTGGTGTGTTTTTTTTTTTCTTTTGGCAAGCCTTTTCCGCCTGTAAGACCTGTCGCTAATGTGTGCATGCTATGTTTTCCCCTTGTCAATCAGTCACCATATAATTTTGGATTGGTTGTTGTGGTGAAGTTTTCCACCAATAGGAGAGATGTTGTGGTGTGTTTTTTTTTTCTTTTGGCAAGCCTTTTCCGCCTGTAAGACCTGTCGCTAATGTGTGCATGCTATGTTTTCCTGTCTCATACAGCGCGATCGAGCGCCGAACGTGATCAAAATAAGCAGAAAAAAAGTATCGCGGACATAATTTATCATAACTCTGGTTTTATTTGGCCTATCAACACAATTTAAAAACTGGTATATAGGTTGAGGTCCTCACTTTTGAGATAAGTTGAAACGGAGAGTTAACGAGGCTCCGTATTGCAGCTACATCCGGTTCAATATGTCATGTGACTTGAACGCTGGGGAGCGTCAATCGAATCGAATCAAACCTAACTCTCAGATGAATCTTCAAAATTCACCTCAGAAATATGCTTATTATTCTTCTCAGAGTACTGCAGGATACACACACACAGACACACACACAGACACACACACACACACGCACACACGCACACACACACACACACACACACACACACACACACACACACACACACACACACTCAGAGTCTGTTTTTTAGCACCTGCAAAAACATGCTATTTACATATTTGACAAGAATGCAGAGGCTTCCTTTTGCCCCTGAAAAAAATCAAATTTCAAACACAACTTGACTGTTCATTTCTCCAAAAGACAACCATGAAGCTCCATCTAAACCTGAAGCAGATAGTTGGTGCATGTGTACAGTAACCTGAGGAGAGTGAGGTGACTACTTCTGAGGAGAACATGAGCAGTGAAGATTCACCTTGGAGCTAGAACAGGGACATGCACATGATTATACAGGGGCAGGGGCTCAAGTTTTTTCCAGTCATTTATACAATATGGAAATTAATGTGAAATTAAACCACAAATATGTGTGATGAACTGTTTTTAAAACTTAAACTTCAAATAAAAATTGTAAACTTCAAAACATATGCAAATTTTTAACAAAGAACATAGTAATTTACCTCTATTTACATCAAAATGCAGGCAATGGCCCAGGCGTTCTTTGTAAAATTATTTACAAAACACTGTATAGTCTCACAAATGTCACTTTTTATTTATGCCACTACAAAAAAACATGATGTAAATGATGCATGATGTAAAACATGATGTAAAAAACTTGTGTAGATCCTCCTCTATGTTAGTCCATGTGTAATTTTTCCATAATTCTTTGTTTTTTGCAGCATTTTTGTTAGTGTAACTGCAGATTGTGCTGACAGTGTCTATGGCAAAAAAAAAAAAAAACTGAAAATGCCTCAACATGAACCCCTGGTGGTCTCTGAGGGTGAAACCTGCTAACTGCTGCAGCTCTGTCAGCTTCAGTCTCCCATGCAGAGCTCGGAGCGCATGTGTGGCTCTGCACCCTTAGCAGCGTTGCTAACTCCTCAGTAAGGAAAGCCTGCTTCATGTCAGAGTCTCTAAACTCCAGAAGAAGTCGATAAAAGTCACTTTCTTTCTAAAAAAAAAGTCGTTAGGGGGTCTGAAAAGTCATTGAATCTAACAACAAAGTCGCTAGGTTTGCAACTACGTGTCCCAGACTGCATCCCTGCTGAGAGTCCCTCCCTCCCTTCTCATATTGCAGGAAGAACATAAGCGCCCGCCCCTTGTCAATCAGTCACCATATAATTTTGGATTGGTTGTTGTGGTGAAGTTTTCCACCAATAGGAGAGATGTTGTGGTGTGTTTTTTTTTCCTTTGGCAAGCCTTTTCCGCCTGTAAGACCTGTCGCTAATGTCTGCATGCTATGTTTTCCTGTCTCATACAGCGCGATCGAGCGCCGAACGTGATCAAAATAAGCAGAAAACAAGTATCGCGGACATAATTTATCATAACTCTGGTTTTATTTGGCCTATCAACACAATTTAAAAACTGGTATATAGGTTGAGGTCCTCACTTTTGAGATAAGTTGAAACGGAGTCAACGAGGCTCCGTCTTGCAGCTACATCCGGTTAAATATGTCATGTGACTTGAACGCACACACAGACACACACACACGCACACACACACACACACACACACACACACACTCAGAGTCTGGTTTTTAGCACCTGCAAAAACATGCTATTTACATATTTGACAAGAATGCAGAGGCTCCTTTTGCCCCTGAAAAAAATCAAATTTCAAACACAACTTGACTGGTCATTTCTCCAAAAGACAACCATGAAGCTCCATCCAAACCTGAAGCAGGCAGTTGGTGCATGTGTACAGTAACCTGAGGGGAGTGAGGTGACTGCTTCTGAGGAGAACATGAGCAGTGAAGATTCACCTTAGAGCTAGAACAGAGACGTGCACATGATTATACAGGGGCAGGGGCTCAAGTTTTTTCCAGTTGTTTATACAATATGGAAATTAATGTGAAATTAAAAAACAAAGTATTAATAGAAAGGTAATGACTGTCCTGAGTAGGTGACAGTGATATCCAATAGGCTAGGCACTCAAGAGGCTGGCTGTGGCAAGTGTAAGTGAAAGCAACACGCACTGGCAGGAAGAACAGCAAACGCCGATGAAGGAAAAGGGTCTTTGCAGTGATGGGCGTTACCAGAGAGGACGATGGCCAGAGGACACAAATGGGACGGGGAGGCAGCGCGTTGGGGGGGGGACGCGACACAGCTCGGGCCCGCCAGTGCCCCAACGGGGTCCTAGTTATTATTTTTCCTCCGCTTTAAACTGGAAAATGGCCCACTTCCCACTGGCGAAAACTCATGAAATTTGGCAGGACGACCGGGCCTGGTGAAAAATTCGATATTCTGAAGTCACCCAAACAATAAAATGCAAAATGGCTCCATAGCGCCCCCTAAGGTGAAAATTCACACTATTGACTGTCACGCCTGTACGCTTTGTCATATTGACACAAAAATCGACACACACATGTATCTCAATAAGATCTACAAAAAAGTCAGTGCGGGCGTATCTGTCAAATGTACGGTTAAAGGGTTATTTCGCATTTTTTGCCGATCCGCACACATTGGAATTTCGCTAACTCCTCCGAAGGCTTTCGTTCCACCGGCACCACATTTGCTCAGGCCAATCTACACTCCATGGCCATTCAAAGTTGTACAAATCATGATGCTGCACCCCATGGTTTAGGTTCTAGGGGGCGCCAAAAATAACCCAAAAATCCACATTCTTAAAAGTTTTATAACTTTTTATTTTTGTCCCCACTGGCCTCCAAGTTTTCTAGGATGATGCAATGTCCAGCCATCAACACATTTGTGAAGGAATTTTTACTCCCCAAAAGAGCGCCCCCCCATGGCAGGACAAAAAAGTCAATTTTTTCTTGTCCCCTAAGGTGAAAATACACATTGTTGAGATTCACGCCTGTACGCTTTGTCATATTGACAAAAAATTTGACACACACGTGTATCTCAATAAGGTCTACGAAAAAGTCAATGCGCGCGTATCTGTAAAATGTACGGCTAAACGGCTATTTTGCATTTTTTGCCGATTCGCACACATTGGAATGTGGCTAACTCCTCCTAAGGCTTTCGTCCCACTGACACCAAATTTGCTCAGGCCAATCTACACCCCATGGCCATTCAAAGTTGTAAAAATCATGCCGCTGCACCCCATGGTTTACGTTCTAGGGGGCACCAAAGATGACCCAAATATCCACATTCTTAAAAGTCGTTTTGGCCACTGCAGGAGTACAGAGTACTGCAGGATACACACACACAGACACACACACACACAGACACACACACACACGCGCACACACACACACACACACACACACACACACACACACACACACACACTCAGAGTCTGTTTTTCAGCACCTGCAAAAACATGCTATTTACATATTTGACAACAATGCAGAGACTTCCTTTTGCCCCTGAAAAAAATGAAATTTCAAACACAACTTGACTGCTCATTTCTCCAAAAGACAACCATGAAGCTCCATCCAAACCTGAAGCAGGCAGTTGGTGCATGTGTACAGTAACCTGAGGGGAGTGAGGTGACTGCTTCTGAGGAGAACATGAGCAGTGAAGATTCACCTTGGAGCTAGAACAGGGACGTGCACATGATTATACAGGGGCAGGGGCTCAAGTTTTTTCCAGTCGTTTAGACAATATGGAAATTAATGTGAAATTAAAAAACAAAGTATTAATAGAAAGGTAATGACTGTCCTGTGTAGGTGACAGTGATATCCAATAGGCTAGGCACTCACGAGGCTGGCTGTGGCAAGTGCAAGTGAAAGCCACACGCACTGGCAGGAAGAACAGCAAACGCCGATGAAGGAAAAGGGTCTTTGCAGTGATGGGCGTTACCAGAGAGGACGATGGCCAGAGGACGCGAATGGGACGGGGAGGCAGCGCGGTGGGGGGGGGGGGGGGCGCACACAGCTCGGGCCCGCCAGTGCCCCAACAGGGCCCTAGTTAGGGCCCGAGCGTAGCTGCTAAGCAGCTGCGAGAGCCCTCTTGTTCCTGATGGATTCTTCTTTCGTTATTTTTCCTCCGCTTTAAACTGGAAAATGGCCCACTTCCCACTGGCGAAAACTCAGGAAATTTGGCAGGACGACCGGGCCTGGTGAAAAATTTGATATTCTGAAGTCGCCCAAACAAAAAAATGAAAAATGGCTCCATAGCGCCCCCTATGGTGAAAACTCACCTGACGCCTGTACGCTTTGTCAAAATGACACAAAATTTGACACACATGTGTATCTCGATAAGATCTACAAAAAAGTCAGTGCGGGCGTATCTGTCAAATGTACGGTTAAAGGGCTATTTCGCATTTTTTGCCGATCCGCACACATTGGAATTTCGCTAACTCCTCCGAAGGCTTTCGTTCCACCGGCACCAAATTTGCTCAGGCCAATCTACACCCCATGGCCATTAAAAGTTGTACAAAACATGATGCTGCACCCCACGGTTTACGTTCTAGGGGGCGCCAAAAATAACCCAAAAATCCACATTCTTAAAAGTCTTATAACTTTTTATTTTTGTCCTCACTGGCCTCCAAGTTTTCTAGGATGATGCAATGTCCAGCCATCAACACATTTGTGAAGGAATTTTTACTCGCCAAAAGAGCGCCCCCCCATGGCAGGAGAAAAAAGTCCATTTTTTCTAGTCCCCTAAGGCGAAAATACACATTGTTGAATGTCACGCCTGTACGCTTCGTCATATTGACACAAAATTTGACAATCACGTGTATCTCAATAAGATCTACGAAAGAGTCAATGCGCGCGTATCAGTAAAATGTACGGTTAAAGGGCTATTTCGCATTTTTTGCCGTTTCGCACACATTGGAATGTGGCTAACTCCTCCTAAGGCTTTCGTCCCACTGACACCAAATTTGCTCAGGCCAATCTACACTCCATGGCCATTCAAAGTTGTAAAAATCATGACGCTGCATCCCACGGTCTATGTTCTAGGGGGCGCCAAAGAGGACCCAAATATCCACATTTTTAAAAGTCTTATAACTTTTTATTTTTGTCCTCACTGGCCTCCAAGTTTTCTAGGATGATGCAATGTCCAGCCATCAACACATTTGTGAAGGAATGTTTACTCCCCAAAAGAGCGCCCCCCCATGGCAGGAGAAAAAAGTCCATTTTTTCTTGTCCCCTAAGGTGAAAATACACATTGTTGAGTGTCATGCCTGTACGCTTTGTCAAAATGACACAAAATTCAACACACATGTGTATCTCAATAAGATCTACGAAAAAGTAAATGCAGGCGTATCTGTCAAATGTACGGTTAAAGGGCTATTTCGCATTTTTTGCCGATTCGCACACATTGGAATGTGGCTAACTCCTCCTAAGGCTTTCGTCCCACTGACACCAAATTTGCTCAGGCCAATCTACACCCCATGGCCATTCAAAGTTGTAAAAATCATGCCGCTGCACCCCATGGTTTAAGTTCTAGGGGGCACCAAAGATGACCCAAATTTCCACATTCTTAAAAGTCGTTTTGGCCACTGCAGGAGTACAGAGTACTGCAGGATACACACACACAGACACACACACACACAGACACACACACACACGCGCACACACACACACACACACACACACACACACACACACACACACACACACACACTCAGAGTCTGTTTTTCAGCACCTGCAAAAACATGCTATTTACATATTTGACAACAATGCAGAGACTTCCTTTTGCCCCTGAAAAAAATGAAATTTCAAACACAACTTGACTGCTCATTTCTCCAAAAGACAACCATGAAGCTCCATCCAAACCTGAAGCAGGCAGTTGGTGCATGTGTACAGTAACCTGAGGGGAGTGAGGTGACTGCTTCTGAGGAGAACATGAGCAGTGAAGATTCACCTTGGAGCTAGAACAGGGACGTGCACATGATTATACAGGGGCAGGGGCTCAAGTTTTTTCCAGTCGTTTAGACAATATGGAAATTAATGTGAAATTAAAAAACAAAGTATTAATAGAAAGGTAATGACTGTCCTGTGTAGGTGACAGTGATATCCAATAGGCTAGGCACTCACGAGGCTGGCTGTGGCAAGTGCAAGTGAAAGCCACACGCACTGGCAGGAAGAACAGCAAACGCCGATGAAGGAAAAGGGTCTTTGCAGTGATGGGCGTTACCAGAGAGGACGATGGCCAGAGGACGCGAATGGGACGGGGAGGCAGCGCGGTGGGGGGGGGGGGGGGGGGCGCGACACAGCTCGGGCCCGCCAGTGCCCCAACAGGGCCCTAGTTAGGGCCCGAGCGTAGCTGCTAAGCAGCTGCGAGAGCCCTCTTGTTCCTGATGGATTCTTCTTTCGTTATTTTTCCTCCGCTTTAAACTGGAAAATGGCCCACTTCCCACTGGCGAAAACTCAGGAAATTTGGCAGGACGACCGGGCCTGGTGAAAAATTTGATATTCTGAAGTCGCCCAAACAAAAAAATGAAAAATGGCTCCATAGCGCCCCCTATGGTGAAAACTCACCTGACGCCTGTACGCTTTGTCAAAATGACACAAAATTTGACACACATGTGTATCTCGATAAGATCTACAAAAAAGTCAGTGCGGGCGTATCTGTCAAATGTACGGTTAAAGGGCTATTTCGCATTTTTTGCCGATCCGCACACATTGGAATTTCGCTAACTCCTCCGAAGGCTTTCGTTCCACCGGCACCAAATTTGCTCAGGCCAATCTACACCCCATGGCCATTAAAAGTTGTACAAAACATGATGCTGCACCCCACGGTTTACGTTCTAGGGGGCGCCAAATATAACCCAAAAATCCACATTCTTAAAAGTCTTATAACTTTTTATTTTTGTCCTCACTGGCCTCCAAGTTTTCTAGGATGATGCAATGTCCAGCCATCAACACATTTGTGAAGGAATTTTTACTCGCCAAAAGAGCGCCCCCCCATGGCAGGAGAAAAAAGTCCATTTTTTCTAGTCCCCTAAGGCGAAAATACACATTGTTGAATGTCACGCCTGTACGCTTCGTCATATTGACACAAAATTTGACAATCACGTGTATCTCAATAAGATCTACGAAAAGAGTCAATGCGCGCGTATCAGTAAAATGTACGGTTAAAGGGCTATTTCGCATTTTTTGCCGTTTCGCACACATTGGAATGTGGCTAACTCCTCCTAAGGCTTTCGTCCCACTGACACCAAATTTGCTCAGGCCAATCTACACTCCATGGCCATTCAAAGTTGTAAAAATCATGACGCTGCATCCCACGGTCTATGTTCTAGGGGGCGCCAAAGAGGACCCAAATATCCACATTTTTAAAAGTCTTATAACTTTTTATTTTTGTCCTCACTGGCCTCCAAGTTTTCTAGGATGATGCAATGTCCAGCCATCAACACATTTGTGAAGGAATGTTTACTCCCCAAAAGAGCGCCCCCCCATGGCAGGAGAAAAAAGTCCATTTTTTCTTGTCCCCTAAGGTGAAAATACACATTGTTGAGTGTCATGCCTGTACGCTTTGTCAAAATGACACAAAATTCAACACACATGTGTATCTCAATAAGATCTACGAAAAAGTAAATGCAGGCGTATCTGTCAAATGTACGGTTAAAGGGCTATTTCGCATTTTTTGCCGATTCGCACACATTGGAATGTAGCTAACTCCTCCGAAGGCTTTCGCTCCACCGGCACCAAATTTGCTCAGGCCAATCTACACCCCATGGCCATTCAAAGTTGTAAAAATCATGACGCTGCACCCCACGGTTTAAGTTCTAGGGGGCGCCAAAGATGACCCAAATATCCATATTCTTAAAAGTGTTATAACATTTTATTTTTGTCCTCACTGGCCTCCATGTTTTCTAGGATGATGCAATGTCCAGCCATCAACACATTTGTGAAGGAGTTTTTTCTCGTTAAAAGAGCGCCCCCCCATGGCAGGAGAATAAAGTCAAGTTTTTCCTTTTCATCGTTCAATGGCTCAAACGCATCGCTCTCTCGGCAAAAGCGAAAGGAGGAGCAACTTGCCATTTGGATATATCTTAGCTGTGTTTGTGCCCTCACTCATGGTCCAGACTTTTTTCAAATAGGACATGGAGTTTTTCTGCAGCGAGCGTTTTGGTAGAAACTGCGCCTCCCATTCATTATAATGGTAAATGACCACAGACAAGTGCGCACACCATCTTTGGACCTTGAGTGTGACGCGATTGGGTGGGGGAGGCGGTCGCGCTGGGGGCGGCGCGACACGGCTCGGGCCCGCCAGTGCCCCACCGGGGCCCTAGTTATTTTTCTGCCCCTTTGAACTGGAAAATGGCCCACTTCCCAATGGTGAAAACTCATGAAATTTGGCAGGACGACCGGGCCTGGTGAAAAATTCGATATTCTGAAGTCACCCAAACAATCAAATGCAAAATGGCTCCATAGCGCCCCCTAAGGTGAAAAATTCACATGATTGAGTGTCACGCCTGTACGCTTTGTCAAAATGACACAAAATTTGACACACACGTGTATCTCAATAAGATCTACAAAAAAGTCAGTGCGGGCGTATCTGTCAAATGTACGTTTAAAGGGCTATTTCGCATTTTTTGCCGATCCGCACACATTGGAATTTCGCTAACTCCTCCGAAGGCTTTCGTTCCACCGGCACCAAATTTGCTCAGGCCAATCTACACCCCATGGCCATCGAAAGTTGTACAAATCATGACGCTGCACCCCACGGTTTACGTTGTAGGGGGCGCCAAAGATAACCCAAAAATCCACATTCTTACAAGTCTTATAACTTTTTATTTCTGTCCTCACTGGCCTCCAAGTTTTCTAGGATGATGCAATGTCCAGCCATCAACACATTTGTGAAGGAATTTTTACTCCCCAAAAGAGCGCCCCCCCATGGCAGGAGAAAAAAGGCCATTTTTTCTTGTCCTATAAGGTGAAAATACACATTGTTGAGTGTCACGCCTGTACGCTTTGTCATATTGAAACAAAATTTTATAATCACGTGTATCTCAATAAGATCTACGAAAAAGTCAATGCGCACGTGTCTGCAAAATGTACGGTTAAAGGGCTATTTCGCATTTTTGGTTGATTCGCACACATTGGAATGTGGCTAACTCCTCCTAGAGCTTTCTTTCCACCGACACCAAATTTGCTCAGGCCAATCTACACCCCATGGCCATTAAAAGTTGTACAAATAATGATGCTGCACCCCACGGTTTACGTTCTAGGGGGCGCCAAAGATAACCCAAAAATCCACATTCTTAAAAGTCTTATAACTTTTCATTTTTGTCCTCACTGGCTTCAAAGTTTTCTAGGATGATGCAATGTCTAGCCATCAACACATTTGTGAAGGAATTTTTACTCCCCAAAAGAGTGCCCCCCCATGGCAGGAGAAAAAGTCAAGTTTTTCCTGCCCATCGCTCAATGGCTCAAACACATCGCTCTCTCGGAAAAAAACGAAAGGAGGAGGAACTTGCCATTTGGATATATCCTAGCTGTGTTTGTGCCCTCACTCATGGTCCAGACTTTTTTCAAATAGGACATGTAGTTTGTCTGCAGCAAGTGTTTTGGTAGAAACTGCGCCTCCCATTCATTATAATGGTAAATGACCACAGACAAGTGCGCACACCATCGTTGAACCTTGAGTGTGACGCGATCGGGAGGGAGAGGCGGTCGTGTTGGGGGCGGCGTGACACAGCTCGGGCCCGCCAGTGCCCCAACGGGGCCCTAGTGTTATTAGGGCCCGAGCCAGCTGCAGAGCAGCCGGGCGTAGAGCCCTATTATTCCTGATGAGTTTTTCTTTCTTCTTTCTTTCTTTCTTTCTTTCTTTCTTCTTATTTTTCCTCCCCTTTGAAGGGAAAAATGGCCCACTTCCCACTGGCGAAAACTCATGAAATTTGGCAGGACGACCGGGCCTGGTGAAAAATTCGATATTCTGAAGTCGCCCAAACAATAAAATGCAAAATGGCTCCATAGCGCCCCCTAAGGTGAAAATTCACACTATTGACTGTCACGCCTGTACGCTTTGTCATATTGACACAAAAATTGACACACACATGTATCTCAATAAGATCTACAAAAAAGTCAGCGCGGGCGTATCTGTCAAATGTACGGTTAAAGGGTTATTTCGCATTTTTTGCCGATCCGCACACATTGGAATTTCGCTAACTCCTCCGAAGGCTTTCGTTCCACCGGCACCACATTTGCTCAGGCCAATCTACACCCCATGGCCATTAAAAGTTGTACAAATCATGCCGCTGCACCCCACGGTTTAGGTTCTAGGGGGCGCCAAAGATAACCCAAAAATCCACAGTCTTAAAAGTCTTATAACTTTTTATTTTTGTCCTCACTGGCCTCCAAGTTCTCTAGGATGATGCAATGTCCAGCCATCAACACATTTGTGAAGGAATTTTTACTCGCCAAAAGAGCGCCCCCCCATGGCAGGAGAAAAAAGTCCATTTTTTCTTGTCCCCTAAGGCGAAAATACACATTGTTGAGTGTCACGCCTATACGCTTTGTCATATTGACACAAAATTTGACAATCACGTGTATCTCAATAAGATCTACGAAAAAGTCAATGCGCGCGTATCTGTAAAATGTACGTTTAAAGGGCTATTTCGCATTTTTTGCCGATTCGCACACATTGGAATGTGGCTAACTCCTCCTAAGGCTTTCGTTCCACTGACACCAAATTTTCTCAGGCCAATCTACACCCCATGGCCATTCAAAGTTGTAAAAATCATGACGCTGCACCCCACGGTTTACGTTCTAGGGGGCGCCAAAGAGGACCCAAATATCCACATATTTAAAAGTCTTATAACTTTTTATTTTTGTCCTCACTGGCCTCCAAGTTTTCTAGGATGATGCAATGTCCAGCCATCAACACATTTGTGAAGGAATTTTTCTCCCCAAAAGAGCGCCCCCCCATGGCCGGAGAAAAAGTCAAGTTTTTCCTGCCCATCGCTCAATGGCTCAAACGCATCGCTCTCTCAGCAAAACCGAAAGGAGGAGCAACTTGCCATTTGGATATATCTTAGCTGTGTTTGTGCCCTCACTCATGGTCCAGACTTTTTTCAAAAAGGACATGGAGTTTGTCTGCAGCGAGCATTTTGGTAGAAACTGCGCCTCCCATTCATTATAATGGTAAATGACCACAGACAAGTGCGCACACCATCTTTGAACCTTGAGTGTGACGCGATCGGGAGGGGTAGGCGGTCGCGCTGGGGGCGGCGCGACACGGCTCGGGCCCGCCAGTGCCCCACCGGGGCCCTAGTTATTATTATTTTTCCTCCGCTTTAAACTGGAAAATGGCCCACTTCCCACTGGCGAAAACTCATGAAATTTGGCAGGACGACCGGGCCTGGTGAAAAATTCGATATTCTGAAGTCGCCCAAACAAGAAAATGCAAAATGGCTCCATAGCGCCCCCTAAGGTGAAAATTCACACTATTGACTGTCACGCCTGTACGCTTTGTCATATTGACACAAAAATTGACATACACATGTATCTCAATAAGATCTACAAAAAAGTCAGTGCGGGCGTATCTGTCAAATGTACGGTTAAAGGGTTATTTCGCATTTTTTGCCGATCCGCACACATTGGAATTTCGCTAACTCCTCCAAAGGCTTTCGTTCCACCGGCACCACATTTGCTCAGGCCAATCTACACCCCATGGCCATTAAAAGTTGTACAAATCATGACGCTGCACCCCACGGTTTACGTTCTAGGGGGCGCCAAAGATAACCCAAAAATCCACAGTCTTAAAAGTCTTATAACTTTTTATTTTTGTCCTCACTGGCCTCCAAGTTCTCTAGGATGATGCAATGTCCAGCCATCAACACATTTGTGAAGGAATTTTTACTCGCCAAAAGAGCGCCCCCCATGGCAGGAGAAAAAAGTCCATTTTTTCTTGTCTCCTAAGGCGAAAATACACATTGTTGACTGTCACGCCTTTACGCTTTGTCAAAATGACACAAAATTTGACACACACATGTATCTCAATAAGATCTACGAAAAAGTCAGTGCGGGCGTATCTGTCAAATGTACGGTTAAAGGGCTATTTCGCTTTTTTTGCCGATCCGCACACATTGGAATTTCGCTAACTCCTCCAAAGGCTTTCGTTCCACCGGCACCACATTTGCTCAGGCCAATCTACACCCCATGGCCATTAAAAGTTGTACAAATCATGACGCTGCACCCCACGGTTTACGTTCTAGGGGGCGCCAAAGATAACCCAAAAATCCACAGTCTTAAAAGTCTTATAACTTTTTATTTTTGTCCTCACTGGCCTCCAAGTTCTCTAGGATGATGCAATGTCCAGCCATCAACACATTTGTGAAGGAATTTTTACTCGCCAAAAGAGCGCCCCCCATGGCAGGAGAAAAAAGTCCATTTTTTCTTGTCTCCTAAGGCGAAAATTCACACTATTGACTGTCACGCCTTTACGCTTTGTCATATTGACACAAAAATTGACATACACATGTATCTCAATAAGATCTACAAAAAAGTCAGTGCGGGCGTATCTGTCAAATGTACGGTTAAAGGGTTATTTCGCATTTTTTGCCGATCCGCACACATTGGAATTTGGCTAACTCCTCCGAAGGCTTTCGTTCCACCGGCACCACATTTGCTCAGGCCAATCTACACCCCATGGCCATTAAAAGTTGTACAAATCATGATGCTGCACCCCACGGTTTACGTTCTAGGGGGCGCCAAAGATAACCCAAATATCCACAGTCTTAAAAGTCTTATAACTTTTTATTTTTGTCCTCACTGGCCTCCAAGTTCTCTAGGATGATGCAATGTCCAGCCATCAACACATTTGTGAAGGAATTTTTACTCGCCAAAAGAGCGCCCCCCCATGGCAGGAGAAAAAGTCCATTTTTTCTTGTCTCCTAAGGCGAAAATACACATTGTTGACTGTCACGCCTTTACGCTTTGTCAAAATGACACAAAATTTGACACACACATGTATCTCAATAAGATCTACAAAAAAGTCAATGCGGCGTATCTGTCAAATGTACGGTTAAAGGGCTATTTTGCATTTTTTGCCGATCCGCACACATTGGAATGTGGCTAACTCCTCCGAAGGCTTTCGTTCCCACTGACACCAAATTTGCTCAGGCCAATCTACACCCCATGGCCATTCAAAGTTGTAAAAATCATGACGCTGCACCCCACGGTTTACGTTCTAGGGGGCGCCAAAGATGACCCAAAAATCCACATTCTTATAAATTTTTGTCCTCACTGAAGTCTCACATCCCCATCAACACATTTGTGAAGGATTTTACTCGCCAAAGAGCGCCCCCCCATGGCAGGAGAAAAAGTCAAGTTTTTCCTGCCCATCGCTCAATGGCTCAATCGCATCGCTCTCCGGCAAAACCGAAAGGAGGAGCAACTTGCCATTTGGATATATACTAGCTGTGTTTGTGCCCTCACTCATGGTCCAGACTTTTTTCAAAAAGGACATGGAGTTTGTCTGCAGCGAGCGTTTTGGTAGAAACTGCGCCTCCCATTCATTATAATGGTAAATGACCACAGACAAGTGCGCACACCATCTTTGGACCTTGAGTGTGACGCGATCGGGAGGGGTAGGTGGTCGCGCTGGGGGTGGCGCGACACGGCTCGGGCCCGCCAGTGCCCCAACGGGGCCCTAGTTAGGGCCCGAGCGTAGCTGCTAAGCAGCTGCGAGAGCCCTGTTGTTCCTGATGAGTTTTTCTTTCTTCTTTCTTTCTTTCTTTCTTTCTTCTTATTTTTCCTCCCCTTTGAAGGGGAAAATGGCCCACTTCCCACTGGCGAAAACTCATGAAATTTGACAGGACGACCGGGTCTGGTGAAAAATTCGATATTCTGAAGTCACCCAAACAATAAAATGCAAAATGGCTCCATAGCGCCCCCTAAGGTGAAAATTCACACTATTGACTGTCACGCCTGTACGCTTTGTCATTTTGACACAAAAATTGACACACACATGTATCTCAATAAGATCTACAAAAAAGTCAGCGCGGGCGTGTCTGTCAAATGTACGGTTAAAGGGTTATTTCGCATTTTTTGCCGATCCGCACACATTGGAATTTCGCTAACTCCTCCGAAGGCTTTCGTTCCACCGGCACCACATTTGCTCAGGCCAATCTACACCCCATGGCCATTAAAAGTTAGTCAAATCATGACGCTGCACCCCACGGTTTACGTTCTAGGGGGCGCCAAAGATAACCCTAAAATCCACATATTTCAAAGTCTTATAACTTTTTATTTTTGTCCTCACTGGCCTCCAAGTTCTCTAGGATGATGCAATGTCCAGCAATTAACACATTTGTGAAGGAATTTTTACTCGCCAAAAGAGCGCCCCCCCCATGGCAGGAGAAAAAAGTCCATTTTTTCTTGTCCCCTAAGGCGAATATACACATTGTTGAGTGTCACGCCTGTACGCTTTGTCATATTGACACAAAATTTGACAATCACGTGTATCTCAATAAGATCTACGAAAAAGTCAATGTGCGCGTATCTGTAAAATGTACAGTTAAAGGGCTATTTCGCATTTTTTGCCGATTCGCACACATTGGAATGTGGCTAACTCCTCCTAAGGCTTTCGTTCCACTGACACCAAATTTGCTCAGGCCAATCTACACCCCATGGCCATTCAAAGTTGTACAAATCATGACGCTGCATCCCACGGTTTACGTTCTAGGGGGCGCCAAAGATGACCCAAATATCCACATTTTTAAAAGTCTTATAACTTTATTTTTGTCCTCACTGGCCTCCAAGTTTTCTAGGATGATGCAATGTTCAGTCATCAACACATTTGTGAAGGAATTTTTTTCCCCCAAAAGAGCGCCCCCCCCATGGCAGGAGAAAAAGTCAAGTTTTTCCTGCCCATCGCTCAATGGCTCAAATTCATCGCTCTCTCGGCAAAACCGAAAGGAGGAGCACCTTGCCATTTGGGTATATACTAGCTGTGTTTGTGCCCTCACTCATGGTCCAGACTTTTTTCAAAAAGGACATGGAGTTTGTCTGCAGCGAGCGTTTTGGTAGAAACTGCGCCTCCCATTCATTATAATGGTAAATGACCACAGACAAGTGCGCACACCATCTTTGGACCTTTAGTGTGACGCGATCGGGAGGGGTAGGTGGTCGCGCTGGGAGCGGCGCGACACGGCTCGGGCCCGCCAGTGCCCCAACGGGGCCCTAGTTCTTCTTTTTCCTCCCCTTTGAACTGGAAAATGGCCCACTTCCCACTGGCGAAAACTCATGAAATTTGGCAGGACGACCGGGCCTGGTGAAAAATTCGATATTCTGAAGTCGCCCAAACAATAAAATGCAAAATGGCTCCATAGCGCCCCCTAAGGTGGAAATTCACACTATTGACTGTCACGCCTGTACGCTTTGTCATATTGACACAAAAATTGACACACATATGTATCTCAATAAGATCTACAAAAAAGTCAGTGCGGCCGTATCTGTCAAAATTACGGTTAAAGGGTTATTTCGCATTTTTTGCCGATCCGCACACATTGGAATTTCGCTAACTCCTCCGAAGGCTTTCGTTCCACCGGCACCACATTTGCTCAGGCCAATCTACACCCCGTGGCCATTAAAAGTTATCAAAATCATGACGCTGCACCCCAAGGTTTAGGTTCTAGGGGGCGCCAAAGATAACACTAAAATCCACATATTTAAAAGTCTTATAACTTTTTATTTTTGTCCTCACTGGCCTCCAAGTTTTCTAGGATGATGCAATGTCCAGCCATCAACACATTTGTGAAGGAATTTTTACTCCCCAAAAGAGCGCCCCCCCATGGCAGGAGAAAAAAGTCCATTTTTTCTTGTCCCCTAAGGTGAAAATACACACTGTTGAGTGTCACGCCTATACGCTTTGTCAAAATGACACAAAAATTGACACACACATGTAACTCAATAAGATCTACGAAAAAGTCAATGCGCGCGTATCTGTCAAATGTACGGTTAAAGGGTTATTCCGCATTTTTTGCCGATCCGCACACATTGGAATGTGGCTAACTCCTCCTAAGGCTTTCGTTCCACCGGCACCACATTTGCTCAGGCCAATCTACACCCCATGGCCATTAAAAGTTATTCAAATCATGACGCTGCACCCCACGGTTTAGGTTCTAGGGGGCGCCAAAGATAACCCTAAAATCCACATATTTAAAAGTCTTATAACTTTTTATTTTTGTCCTCACTGGCCTCCAAGTTTTCTAGGATGATGCAATGTCCAGCCATCAACACATTTGTGAAGGAATTTTTACTCCCCAAAAGAGCGCCCCCCATGGCAGGAGAAAAAAGTCCATTTTTTCTTGTCCCCTAAGGTGAAAATACATATTGTTGAGATTCACGCCTATACGCTTTGTCATATTGACACAAAATTTGACAATCACGTGCCTTGCCTGGTATCATTTTTTTCAGCACAACCTCACCTGTGCGAATTTACAGTTATTTTATCATGTTGACATACTGAATTTACACAATGGACCCAAATTCACACACAAAACATAAAATCCGAGTGGAAAAAAGTAACATTTTTACTGTGAAAACCACAAATATGTGTGATGAACTGTTTTTAAAACTTAAACTTCAAATAAAAATTGTAAACTTCAAAACATATGCAAATTTTTAACAAAGAACATAGTGATTTACCTCTATTTACATCAAAATGCAGGCAATGGCCCAGGCGTTCTTTGTAAAATTATTTACAAAACACTGTATAGTCTCACAAATGTCACTTTTTATTTATGCCACTACAAAAAAACATGATGTAAATGATGCATGATGTAAAACATGATGTAAAAAACTTGTGTAGATCCTCCTCTATGTCAGTCCATGTGTAATTTTTCCATAATTCTTTGTTTTTTGCAGCATTTTTGTTAGTGTAACTGCAGATTGTGCTGACAGTGTCTATGGCACAAAAAAAAAAAAAATTAAAATGCCTCAACATGAACCCCTGGTGGTCTCTGAGGGTGAAACCTGCTAACTGCTGCAGCTCTGTCAGCTTCAGTCTCCCATGCAGAGCTCTGAGCGCATGTGTGGCTCTGCACCCTTAGCAGCGTTGCTAACTCCTCAGTAAGGAAAGCCTGCTTCATGTCAGAGTCTCTAAACTCCAGAAGAAGTCGATAAAAGTCCCTTTCTTTCTAAAAAAAAGTCGTTAGGGGGTCTGAAAAGTCATTGAATCTAACAACAAAGTCGCTAGGTTTGCAACTACGTGTCCCAGACTGCATCCCTGCTGAGAGTCCCTCCCTCCCTTCTCATGTTGCAGGAAGAACGTAAGCGCCCGCCCCTTGTCAATCAGTCACCATATAATTTTGGATTGGTTGTTGTGGTGAAGTTTTCCACCAATAGGAGAGATGTTGTGGTGTGTTTTTTTTTTTCTTTTGGCAAGCCTTTTCCGCCTGTAAGACCTGTCGCTAATGTCTGCATGCTTTGTTTTCCTGTCTCATACAGCGCGATCGAGCGCCGAACGTGATCAAAATAAGCAGAAAAAAAGTATCGCGGACATAATTTATCATAACTCTGGTTTTATTTGGCCTATCAACACAATTTAAAAACTGGTATATAGGTTGAGGTCCTCACTTTTGAGATAAGTTGAAACGGAGAGTCAACGAGGCTCCGTCTTGCAGCTACATCCGGTTAAATATGTCATGTGACTTGAACGCACACACAGACACACACACACGCACACACACACACACACACACACACACACACACTCAGAGTCTGGTTTTTAGCACCTGCAAAAACATGCTATTTACATATTTGACAAGAATGCAGAGGCTCCTTTTGCCCCTGAAAAAATCAAATTTCAAACACAACTTGACTGCTCATTTCTCCAAAAGACAACCATGAAGCTCCATCCAAACCTGAAGCAGGCAGTTGGTGCATGTGTACAGTAACCTGAGGGGAGTGAGGTGAGTGCTTCTGAGGAGAACATGAGCAGTGAAGATTCACCTTGGAGCTAGAACAGAGACATGCACATGATTATACAGGGGCAGGGGCTCAAGTTTTTTCCAGTCGTTTATACAATATGGAAATTAATGTGAAATTAAAACACAAAGTATTAATAGAAAGGTAATGACTGTCCTGTGTAGGTGACAGTGATATCGAATAGGCTAGACACTCACGAGGCTGGCTGTGGCAAGTGTAAGTGAAAGCAACACGCACTGGCAGGAAGAACAGCAAACGCCGATGAAGGAAAAGGGTCTTTGCAGTGATGGGCGTTACCAGAGAGGGCGATGGCCAGAGGACACAAATGGGACAGGGAGGCAGCACGTTGGGGGGGGGGGGGCGACACGGCTCGGGCCCGCCAGTGCCCCAACGGGGTCCTAGTTATTATTATTATCATTATTATTATTATTTTTCCTCCGCTTTAAACTGGAAAATGGCCCACTTCCCACTGGCGAAAACTCAGGAAATTTGGCAGGACGACCGGGCCTGGTGAAAAATTCGATATTCTGAAGTCGCCCATAGGGGGCGCCAAAGATGACCCAAATATCCACATTCTTAAAAGAATCCACATCCCCCCCCCAAGGCAGGAGAAAAAGTCAAGTTAACCCTGCCCATCGGTCAATGGCTCAATCGCATCGCTCTCCCAGCAACACCGTAAGGAGGAGCAACTTGCCATTTGGATATATCCTAGCTGTGTTTCTGCCCTCACTCATGGTCCAGACTTTTTTCAAATAGGACATGTAGTTTGTCTGCAGCGAGTGTTTTGGTAGAAACTGCGCCTCCCATTCATTATAATGGGAAATGACCACAGACAAGTGCGCACACCATCTTTGGACCTTGAGTGTGACGCGATCGGGAGGGGGAGGCGGTCGCGCTGGGGGCGGCGCGACGCGGCTCGGGCCCGACAGTGCCCCACCGGGGCCCTAGTTTCTGTAGTTTTTCTTGATACAACAGGCGTTTTGACACCAAAATACGTAATACGGTTGTACCCTTTAAACTAACAAAAGACTGAAAGATCTTATATTTAAAAATAAGTTGACACTATAAAGCAAAAGTACAAGTTATTAGGAAAGAGCGCAGGTGTGTGTGTGTTGTGGTCACCAAAAAGGTCATGTTTGCAAAGCACAGTTACCTCTGCGTCTTCCTTTTTCCTTACTGGACTTTGCCTTCTTCCTTTTTGGCCGTTTCTGTGTCTTCCCTTTCTTCCTCGTCTTCTTCCCTTTCTTCTTTCTCTCCTCCTCTGAGGTTGAAGAGTAGGAGAATGATAAAGAGGAAGATGTGGAGGTTGTGGAAATCTGGGAGTCACTGGATGCATACTCTTCTTCATTTGCCTTGGTACTTTTTTTCTTATCTAAGAAAGCAAAACAATAGATACAAAGACAAATAACGCATTAGACACAACAGAGAGGGGCATCTTAGGGAATACAACAGCACAAACACTGAGCATGTAGCAAGGCCTATATCACATCACAAACTACAAAAAGGAGCAGTGGGGCTGAGAGTGATTTTACTGGTTAACAAGGTTCTTAAAACTAATAACTCTAGGCTACAGTAGAACAGAACTGCAAATAGCCTATTTGAAGTTTGCAAAATTAACTAACCATTAAGTCTGTAGTTCTAAGTGCAACTGGGAGTTTGTTCCACAGTTTGGGGTGTAACAGGGCAAAGAGTCAAGGACGAGTGGATCGTTGTCCTGTCTAATGTAATTGAATACAAGTGGAGTACTTACATTTGGCCACTTCAGCCAGAAGGTCTTCCTTCTCTTTCGTTAACTTCTCAATCACTTTAGCTTGAGAAGCTTCATTATTCTTGGCCTTCTCTAGCTGTGTGCGCATCCTCTTTGCTGCCAGCTCAGCAGTGGGCGACTGGGACACAGGGTTTCCTGAAACAGAGATGACAAATGGTGATTAGTTAACCAAAAGTGCTTGTTACTAATGTTGTGTTTGCCAGCTATAACGCTGAGTAATGGCATAAGCACAAGTTGAATGTTTCAATTGGACCTAATGTGACATAACCCTTCGCATCAATCAGTACACACCATGTTGAGAGCTTGTAGATTGGCTATTTTGACTGCTTCTTAATACATATTTAATATTTGCGTTTTTTCTTTTTTAAGATTTGTTTGTTTTTTAAATGTATTATTTTCGTCAAATCTGGAAAGATATAGATTGATAAATGTTGGAAAAGAACATGATCACCACATATGTCTGACCCACCAATGGGTCCCGACCCACTGTCTAGGAAACAGTGCTGTAAACCATATTTGCCACCATACTGGTCTGTGGCACAGAGACTCCAATAGAGCATAATAGTGGGCAGGGTTTACTGGTTCCACTAAAATAAGCCCCATTCATTTTCACCATAGGCTTTTACGAAAGTATTTATAACAGTTGTTTTAAACCTAGAACCAAGCCATCCAGGATTCCAGTCAATCATGACCATGAAACCTTTGGTTCTGTGAAAAGAAATATTTGAATATTTAATTATTTGATATACTTCATTTCATAAATATCCTTTGTTTAGCGTTTCTTTTTTTCTTTTCATAGAATCAAAGGTTTCATGGTCATGATTCACTGGAAAGCTGGATGGCTTGGTTCTAAGTTAAAAATAATTGTTATAAATATTTTTGTAAAAGCCTGTGGTGAAAATGAATGGGGCTCGTTTTAGTGGAACCAGCAAACCCCGCCCACTATTATGCTCTATGAAGGCTAAAATAATTCATTCCAAATAGGTCTGGGGAGCTTTGAAGCCTTTTTCAATGAACTCATTGTGGATAAGGCACATTTGTCCCAAATACACATTTGTTGGTCCCTGGGCTAAACATGGGTCGGTTTCAATCAGTATAAGCCAGTGGTTCTTAAACGTTTTCCTGTCAACACCTCCAAACTCACACATATTAGCCTGCAGAGCCATATTTGAAAAGATACGTCCCTTTTTGAGAGGCTAAAGTTATTGTTGATTAATTTAGAGTGTAAAAATAATGGACACTACCGGGTCCATTTGGTTCCTTTTGTATACTCTCAGAGTTACACACCCACAAGGGTCCCATTTAGTTCAAAATTATCATCTAGCGGGGGACCTCTTGAAAAATTCGGCCTAATTCTAATTCGGCCCCTGCAAGCCCTGGACGATGTAGTGCCGTTGGTTTTGAACCCTGCTCCACTAACCTGAGCGATAGCAAGGCTAACGCTTCAAGATTCAAGATGTTTATTCTCACAAGATTTATGTACAAGTACATTGCACTGTGAAAAGCTGAGGTTGGGGTGCTCCATAGAATAAAAACAATAAATAACAGTGCAACTAGCTAACTAGCTACATTGATGTTTGTGATCAGTTCATCACCGTATTTTGCAGGACAAAACAAGTAAACAAATACACGTTCCAAGCAACATATATGGCTTTTGTACAGTAGCTTACCTGTGCTGTTGCCTTCTTCCTCATCTTCAATAACGTCTATCGGCCTTGGACGTTTATTTCGTGCTCGACGAGTAGCGGTGTTCATTCTTGCAAACTTTTGAATGATTATTGAGAAAGCCCGCCGCCTCAGCTCAGCTGCTCAAGAGCTTGGACTCGACCCACCCTTTGCGCGACATGATTGGCCAGTCGTCTGTCTTGATTGACATAGGAAGCATCCTCCCTGGTTGCCTCTGATTTGGTTGAATGGCAGGAAGGGGATTGCCACGGAGCTCCCCTCCAATCCAGAAGCACGCTGATGTGACTTTTTTCTTTTTTGGTTACGTATTCTGGCGGGACAATATGACTGAGTGGCAAAGCTAACAGCAACAGATGAGAACTGAAAGTGAGGTTTGCTGCAGAGATTTTTCGTTTGTGAGCTTGTTTCTGCCAAAATGCCTGGTTTGTCCAGTAAATTAAGAGAATTGACAGAAGGGAGGAAAACGACAAAAAACACACACAAACTGATTAAATGGCGGCAAAAGAAAAAAATACTGAAAAGGAAGGTTAAATGCAGTTCATGCAGGCACAATATGAAGCTGATGCTGCGGAGGGCTTGTTTGGACAGATTTGAATGGTATGTATTTTATTTTTATTTTTTAATATAGATTGTATGTTTAATAAAAAAGGCTAAAAAATATAATGTACATAAATACTGTTATAAGGATGACTGTGTTCGTTTGTGTGTGTGTGTGTGTGTGTGTGTGTGTAAGTAGTGTATATCAAGTCAAGTGGGCACTACAGACATGTGTTGGATGACTGGGCACCTGGACAACTGGGCTCTAGGGACATGTGGGCACCTAGACAACTGGGCATTAATATTTTACCTTTTTTGAACTACTTCCATTTAACTACTTCCTACTTCCACGTAATTGTTATTTTTTGGTACTTCTCTTTTGGCAAATACACTCTTCTATTGAATTTTGAAACTCTGATGTTATATACTTTTGACCTCAGAACTATTTTGGCAAATAAACTCTTTTGACCTTACTATTGTGTCATTTTGGGGGTTTAAAGAACAGTGGGTCAAACAGCATGCTATAAATGAAGGTGTCTACTCGTCCAGGTGCCCACATGTCCCTAGTAGTGCTCGGTTTTCCAGGTGCCCACCTGTCCATTGTTCCCCGTTGTCCAGATGCCCACATTTCTCTAGTGCCCAGATGGTTTGGTGCATAGATACTATATCTCTGGTGCCCAATTGGTTTTGTTTAATGCCCATCTGACCTGTTACCACATTAGGTAGGAATATATGTTCATGTTGTGTGCGTGTTGTGTGCATGTGTTTGCGTGCGTGTGTGTGTTTGTGTTACTAAAGTAGCTGTCAGGTTGCTCAGTAAACAATTAAACAGCATGTTTTTTGTTGTACGTTTAAAAAGAACATCTGAATGATTTAGTATATAATCCATTTCACATTTTCTTTTAGGATATGTCGACGTAACCACCGAACAGTGAGAAGGTCAATTCGGCACAAGAGCCTGTTTTCCAAAAACAAAATCTCACTGTGCAATTGGATGAGATTTGTGTACAGGTTAGACAACACATACCTTGTGTGTTTTATGTTTATATCTATGTAGCCAGGTATTGAGAACATCAATGCAAATTAATTAATATAGCTTAAATTGTCAGTGTTGTAGGTCTGCTATAAACTGGAATCATTGTCATCATGATGTATTATGCTTTTCAAGATTCTCCCAAGGACTGAGGTTGCGGCAGATCGACCTCATCAGTGATGACATTGCGGGATCATCAAGAACCCTGTCAAAAATGTCGAAGACCATGAGAGAGGTCTGCAAAAGAGCCATGAAAAAGCTGCAGAGAAGGAAAGGACAGCGAATAGGGGAGAGGAGATACTTTGTAGCTATAGATGAGAGTCACTTCAGGCATAAAAGAAAGGTAATAACTTTAGTATAATCCAAATTAAGTTGACAATCAGAACCATATTATCACTCACTGTAGAAAAATAAAAATGGACTATGTTAAATAATGATTATGAAAGTGAATTGTCTGGTGACTTCTGCTCAGGTCATGCTTTTTTTTAACTCGATATCAATGTCTTGTTGTTTTCAAATCTTCAGTATGGAAGGGGCAGAATGGCTGGGGCCTGGAAAAGAAAAAAGTGGGTCTTCGGAATGCTGGGAGTGCGGCGCAGAGGACAAAGCAAAGGGGAACCTGTGCACCGCTTGGTGGAGAGGCGAAGCAGAGCCACGCTAGTGCCGTTAATTAATTGGTACATCAGGAGAGGGTCAACCATCATTAGTGATGAGTGGCGAGCTTACAATGCTCTGCCTCAACTAGGCTACAGACACTATACAGTAAACCACAGTGTTGCCTATGTGAATCCAGTAACAGGGGCCCACACCCAACATATAGAGAGAGCCTGGAGAACATATAAGGAGAAGATCTGGCGACTTAGAGGAAACTGCTCAGAGGAGCTTCTTGAAGACCACCTTTGAGTCATTGAGTGGGAAGACTGGCTTGCAAGGAAACACCGACATGGCCCCTTAGGTCGTCTACTGCATGACATGCGGGTCAGGCAGGGACATTTCTACCTCATGGTGGAGACTCAAGTAGCTTCTACTGACTAATGACCCAGTCATCAAATTAATGGCTCTGAGCCTTATGGGTGGGTAATTGATTGAAGATTAGTCGTGTATGTGAACTGCTCCCTCTTATTTATTTTATTTTTTTTTTACATTTTAAGTGTTTTCTGTATGTTTTATAAACAAACATATTTTATTTGTTTAAATGATAATGTGAGCTGTTCAGGGTAAATGTTTTATCAATTTATATTGGAATTAAATGTTAAATGCTGTTCTCTACACCGTTACGTCTGTCACATTTATTGTGGTACAAGATTGTTTAAATCTTTCACTGATCATTGTGTTAAACGTGAAATAATGTAGAATACTTGGTCTCTAAGGCAGCCTCTTGGACTAGTTGGACAGGGCACACCATAACATATGCAAATGTTTTTTACATTTTTTAATCCTTAGCACTGTCTCACAAATCATTTGCGAAACATGAGAATTCTAGTCGTGTGTCGTGTCAGCACCCATGAAGGCCGGGAAGTTTGTAACAGGTAAGTACAAAGTCCACATTAACAAATGCTTTATAAAACATTACTAATACATCTATTAATCATTGGTATATGTTATCAAGAGCCCTAATGTAAAGTGAAGACAATTCATTATTTACGAATGTCTGTTAAATGTGAACAAACGTGGTGGCGACATTAACAAATACTTGTAAATAATGAATAGTTTTCACTTTACATTAGGGCTCTTGATGACATCAACTACTGATTTATAGGTATTTAAGGAATGTTTTGTAAAGCATATATTAAACATGAACAAACACTGAGGTTGCCTTAAATGACAGTTATAAATAATGAATAGTCTTCACTTTACATTAGGGCTCTTAATAACATCTACTGATGGTTTATAGATATTTTAGGAATGTTTTGCAAAGCATATATTAAACATGAACAAACATTTAAGTCACCTTAATAGACCTTACTTAAGGGTAACTTATCTACAAATAGAATATAAATAATGTATAATTTTAATTACAAATGATTTATTAATCATTTACAAAGGTATATAAATGGTTTGTTCATGATTAATTTACTACTTACTAATGCCTTAATAACAACATACAAATTATGTTTAAACAGTTTGTAAATGTAAAGTTATACACTTACAAATGTCAATAAACAGTTTGTTCATGTTTACTAATCATCTACAAACTGCTTATAAATGTTAATAAACGCTTTATAACAGGTGGTCATTGTAAAGTGCTACCCAAAACAGAGGTTTTAGTTAATCGTCCTGAAGGCCCAAGAGAGACACTTTTACCAAAACTACCAGTACGGAGATGCTAATGCATGCTTTTATCTCCTGTCATTTATATTATTGTAATGCCCTGCTCTCCGGTCTCCCCAAGAGGAACTTACATACACTTCAATTACTGAAAAATTCAGCTGCAAGAGTGCTGACGAGGGCCAGAGGGCAAGCGCATATAACCCCAGTTTTAGCATTGCTGCATTGGCTCCCTGTCCATTTCTAAGAAGAAGAAGAAGAAGAAGAACTTCAGTGATCCCCGAAGGGAAATTCAATTGTCTGTTGTCTCACGTAATATGTCTACAAAAGTTATCGGTAACACTTTATATTAAGGTCCTGTAATAAGCATTAGTTAATAAGTTAATAAGGCCCTTATAAGTGTGTACAAGATGCTTATTAACATTATTATTTGTTTATAAGACTATATATCTATTAATAGTCTCATTATAATACAGTTATTAGCAGACTTTAAGAGATTTATAATAACTTATAAGAAACTTGTTAACTGTTTGTTGATGCTAACGAACATTAATAAAATCCTCATGAGTATCTCATAACTGTTTATAATAACATTATAAACACATATTGACTCAACTAGCCCAACCATGATGGCTTTATCATGCCTTTATTAATCTTTTTGTTTGATTTATTAACATTAATATACACTTTATTGCTCATCTACTGTAAGTTAACTATGCACTTGTTTACAGTTAACTGTGCTTTTTGCAGGTACTGGATCTAAAGTGAGAACAATGTCTTATTAAGGCTGATAAATCTTTTATTGAGCATTATTATGCCTTTAAGAATATTTTTTTCCTGCTTTATCAAAATAAAATGTACTTTACTATGCCCTTGTTATCAGTTAACTATGCACTTATTAACAGTTAACTATGCTTTTTGCAGCTACCAGATCTAAAGCGAGAACAATGCCTTATTAAGTCTCATAAATCTTCTATTATATGGAGGATGACTCCTCTGGTAAGTTTAACTGCAGCTAACTGGTTAGTGCACATTCAAACACGCAGCTAGCTACATAGCTAGCTAGCCAAAGCTAGTTACATTAAAACTCTGTTTTGAATGTGCACTAACTCGTTAGCTGCAGTTAAACTTACCAGAGGAGTCATCCTCCATATCACAACGGCTCCTCTTGTCATCATGATCTTTTCGAGATCCAGAGCGGGTTTGTGTTATCCGCGGGGCCGAAGATGTTGTTCCCTTCATTTTGCATGCGGCACCAAAACGACGTGCACATTGATCGTGTGGCTGAGCCGCTAGCTTAAACCGGAAGTATCGGTTTTACACTGCTCTTTCAAAATAAAAGCATGTGAGAAGCGCACAAAGGCAAGAACAGCTACGGATGTAGGCTGAAAAGAAGCGAAAAAAGACGCGACCCACGAAAAGCAACGGAACAGGAGAAAAAAGAAGTGACTTTACCAAGATGACACTGCTAAACAAAATCAGAAAACTTATTTTTGAAGGTAAAGTTTAAAGTTTTTCTGGTTGAACTACCTTCAAAAATACGTTTTATAGTTTTTACTTTTATTAAGAGGAGCCGTTGTGATATGGAGGATGACTCCTCTGGTAAGTTTAACTGCAGCTAACGAGTTAGTGCACATTCAAAACAGAGTTTTAATGTAACTAGCTTTGGCTAGCTAGCTATGTAGCTAGCTGCGTGTTTGAATGTGCACTAACCAGTTAGCTGCAGTTAAACTTACCAGAGGAGTCATCCTCCATATAATAGAAGATTTATGAGACTTAATAAGGCGTTGTTCTCGCTTTAGATCTGGTAGCTGCAAAAAGCATAGTTAACTGTTAATAAGTGCATAGTTAACTGATAACAAGGGCATAGTAAAGTACATTTTATTTTGATAAAGCAGGAAAAAAATATTCTTAAAGGCATAATAATGCTCAATAAAAGATTTATCAGCCTTAATAAGACATTGTTCTCACTTTAGATCCAGTACCTGCAAAAAGCACAGTCAACTGTAAACAAGTGCAAAGTTAACTTACAGTAGATGAGCAATAAAGTGTATATTAATGTTAATAAATCAAACAAAAAGATTAATAAAGGCATGATAAAGCCATCGTGGTTGGGCTAGTTGAGTCAATATATGTGTTTATAATGTTATAAACAGTTATAAGATACTCATGAGGATTTTATTAATGTTCGTAAGCATCAACAAACAGTTAACAAGTTTCTTATAAGTTATTATAAATCTCTTAAAGTCTGCTAATAACTGTATTATAATGAGACTATTAATAGATATATAGTCTTATAAACAAATAATAATGTTAATAAGCATCTTGTACACACTTATAAGGGCCTTATTACCTATTAACTAATGCTTATTACAGGACCTTAATGTAAAGTGTTACCAAGTTATCTATTATTTACATAAGAGTTATAAAGCCTGATGGCTGTTGGTACAAAAGATCTTCTCAATCTTTCTGTCCTGCAGCGAAGAGAGAGGAGCTGTCCACCACCATTTGCCCTTTGGTCCATCAAGGTGTTGTGAAGTGGGTGATCCATGTTCTTGAGAATAATCTCCACCTTCCTCAGTGTAGATCTCTCCACCACATCCTCTACTGAGTCCAGCTTGAGTGCTACCACAGAGCCAGCCTTTTTCACCAACTTGTTAAGACGTCTTGCATCTTTGTGTTTGATGCTTCCTCCCCAGCAGACTGCAGCGTCGAACAGCACACTTGTCACCACAGACTGATAAAACATCTGCAGCATCTTACTACAGATGTCTACTGATCAGAGTCTTCTCAGGCAAAAGAGGCGGCTTTGCCCATTTCTGTAGATGTAGTCTATATTCTCAGACCAATCCAACTTATTATCCAGATGTACACCTAGGTATTTATATGATGTCATCACTTCTATGTCCACTCCACAGGTGTTCACTGGCTGAAGAGGGGGTTTGGATCTACAGAAGTCTATGACCATCTCCTTTGTCTTTGAGGTGTTGAGGAGGAGGCAGCTTTTGTGACTCCAGTCACTGAAGGCTCTAATTAGAGCTCTGTACTCAGCTTCTTGTCCATTTCTGATACATACCACAATAGCGGTGTCATCTGAGTATTTCTGGATGTGGCAGGACTCAGTACTGTATTTGAAGTCTGCCATCTCTGTGAGATTGTCTTTGAGTATGGTGGGTTGGATGGTGTTGAATGCACTTGAAAAGTCGAAGAACATGGTCCTCACATAAACCCCAGGTTCCTCCAGATGAGGCAGGGCAGGGTGAAGCATGTAGAGGACAGCATCATCCACTCCAATGTGTTCTTTGTAAGCAAACTGCAGGGAGTCCAGTTTGTCTTTGACCTCAGACCTCAGAAGGCGTAGAATCAGCCGCTCCAGGGTTTTCATGATGTGTGAAGTGAGGGCCACTGGTCTGTAGTCATTGAGCTTAGCAGGACATTCTGTTTTTGGTACTGGCACAATGCAGGATGTTTTCCACAGAGCAGGTACCCGCCCCAGCTGTGGACTCAGGTTGAAGATCTTGTGGAGAGGTTGACACAGTTCTGCAGCACAGTCTCTAAGCAGCCGTGGACACACACCATCTGGACCAGCTGCCTTCCCGGGACAAAGTCCTCCAAACTCCCTGTTTCGGTGACAGACAAGAACTGGTGTTCTAGGAGGGAGGCAGTTGAAGTGGTTGAGAAATTTGAAGGAGATGGAGGAGGAAGGGGAGAAGTTGTAGTGGAAATTTGTTGCGGAGAGGAAGGTGGAGTAGCAGTGCAAGTGGGAGTGACAGCAGTGTCAAATCTGTTGAAGAACAGGTTAAGTTCATCAGCTCTTTTCACATCACCCACCACTGACTGTCTTTTCTTTTGACTGCTGTGTCCAGAGATGGTACTGATTCCTCTCCACACTTCACGGATGTTGCTGTGTTGTAGATTATTCCCTATCTTCTTTTCTTTTTCCAATGATAAAATGGAATAATAAAAAAAAAACATCAAGGACCTAAGAGGTAAAATAAGAAAAGATTATAAGTAAAACAAAGGCTAAAAGGATAGCAAGTCGAAATAAGAGATAAAAGAAAAAGGAGAAAAAAGGTAAAAGACGGCATCACATAAAAGCAAGTCTGTAAAAGTGAGTTTTTAAATTTGACTTAAAAGAAGCGACTGTCTCTGCACACCTTATCTTCTCTGGCAGGTCGTTCCAAAGTCGAGGAGCTCTGATGGAGAAAGCTCTATCACCTTTAGTTTTGAGCCTTGACTTTGGAACGACTAGGAGGCCTTCGCCAGAGGATCTGAGGCTGGGAGTTGGCTCATAAGTTATTAAAAGCTTTGAAATGTAGCTCGGAGCAAGTCCTTTAAGCGCTTTAAAATTGATCAATAAAATCTTAAAATCAATTCTAAAACTGACAGGAAGCCAGTGAAGGGAGGCTAAAATTGGAGTGATGTGATGCCGTCTGCTAAAACCAGTTAAAAGCCTAGCTGCTGCATTCTGAACTAGTTGGAGGCAAGAGAGTGATTTCTTGTTTAAACCAGGGAGGAGAGAGTTACAATAGTCCAGTCTTGAGAAAATGAAAGCGTGGATTATCTTTTCGAGATCTGGTGGAGTGGGTATCTGTTTAATCTTTGCAATAGAACGCAGGTGAAGGAAACAGGACTGGACAATCTTGTTGATGTGGGTGGAGAAGGTGAGGTCTGAATCGATGGTTACTCCCAGATTTCTGGCTGTTGGTTTGATTATTACTGAATGTGGACTGAGATAAGACTGGGGGGGTTCAAGCGCATCATTTGAATTTTGAATTTGAATAAATATTTCAGGATTGATTTTTAAGGTTCTTTTATTAGATGTAATAATGGTCTTGGCCCCTCCTATTGATCTGACTTACTTTTATCATATCAACCCTCGCTGACCCTGAGGTCCGCCAGCACAGGCCTTTTAACCTTACCCCGAGGCTTTCCGGCACAGACAGTTGATGTTTTTAAGAAGAGGCTCAAGACTCACCTTTTTAACCAGGCTTTTTACTGATAGCCTTGTCTTATTTCTTTTTTGCTACAGGTTATTGCAATCAAAATGCTTAATGTTTGTTTTATGTTTTTTAATTAATTATCTCTGTTCTTATGCTTTTTAATAACCCCTCAAATGAGGTATATACTTCTTTTACCCCTTTTACATGGTAAAAAGCTCTTACTTATTTGTTCATTTTATAATTTCTTCTTGTCTTAGCCCACCAGGTGTTACTCTTTCTTTGTACCATTTTTATCTTTTTATCTCCAGTGTTTCCCAAAGGTAGCTCTTTCCTCATGCAATGTTTCGGTTTCAAGCCATGTCTCTTGAACAATATATCTTGTGTGTGCTTGTGGGTGTATGTATGGGTTGGTGAGGGTGGGTGTGTGTCTTTGTGTGTGTGTGGGTCTATGGGTGTGTGTGTGTGGATGGGAGGGTTGGGTTTTATTGTTGTTTTTAGCCTTTGTGAGGCACTTTGTGTTACAGTCTTGTATGAAAAGTGCCATATAAATAAAGTTGAATTTGAGTTGAATTGCATTTTATTTACACTAATTATTGCATTAAATGCAAAGGTAATCAGATGACCTCTAGTGTACAGGTTTTGCAGACAGTGGCATAAGAACTTAAAATCTTTTTTGTACCCATGCAATACATCAGAATAACTCTTTCCCAATAGGTCATTGAAGAGACATGACATGATGAGCTGCTCTTCCCTCAGTGATTCGGCAGAGACAGGACAGAGACATTTCCTTGGGTACAATACCTAAAGACTTGCCATGTTTGGAGTGATATTCCCCAGGTCTCTATTCATTTGATGACCCAATTTTCAAGAACTCCAACAGATGATTGTGCCTGTGGCAACAAGATTTTGTTATTGCTGTGACTAAGTTACGAAGCAGCATTGCGATAAGCTGTGAATGGCTCTTTGACTAGGAAAGTCATGAAGAGACCCACAATCTAGGCACAAATGCAGATTTAGAGGGAATAAACTTTGACACATAGTGCATTTGGGATGTTTATTTTGTGTTGGTTCAAACAGCAACAGCCTTGGCAGTGACTTGACTGACAAATACACAGATATATCAGTGTTACAGCATGGTGCATTGTTTAAGTAACCAGGACAGTGATTGATAAAAGTAGGGATCTATTAGTATTTAATACAAAACACAATTCCATTGAAGTTGGGAAATTGTGATAAACGTGAATAAAAACAGAATACAATGATTTGTAAATCCTTTTCAACCTATATTTAATTGAATACACTACAAAGACAAGATATTTAATGTTCAGACTAATAAATTTTATTTTTTTTTGCAAATAATAATTAACTCAGAATTTCATGGCTGCAACACGTGCCAAAGTAGTTGGGACAAGGACATGTTTACCACTTTGTTGCATCACCTTTCCTTTTAACAATGCTCAATAAACGTTTGGGAACTGAGGAGACTAATTGTTGAAGCTTTGCAGGTGGAATTCTTTCCCATTCTTGTTTGATGTACAGCTTCAGTTGTTCAACAGCCCAGGGTCTTGTTGTCATATTTCTAGATTCATAATGCGCCACACATTTTCAATGGGAGACAGGTCTGGACTGCAGGCAGGCCAGTCAAGTACCCGCATTCTTTTACTACGAAGCCACACTGTTGCAACATGTGCAGAATGTGGCTTGGCATTGTCTTGCTGAAATAAGCAGGGGCTTCCATGAAAAAGACATTGCTTGGATGGCAGCATATGTTGAAAACCTGTATGTACCTTTCAGCATTAATGTTGCCTTCATGGATGTGCAAGTTACAGTGCATCCGGAAAGTATTCATACCACTTCACTTTTTCCACATTTTGTTATGTTACAGCCTTATTCCAAAATGGATTAAATTCCCTTTTTCCCTCAAAAATTCTACACAAAATACCCCATAATGACAAAGCAAAAGACTTTTTTTAGAACATTTTGCAAATTTATTAAAAATAAGAACACTCAAATGTTGCATATACATAAGTATTCACACCCTTTACTCAATACTTGGTCGAAGCACCTTTGGCAGTGATTACAGCCTCCAGTCTTCTTGTGTATGATGCAACAAGCTTGGCACATCTGGATTTGGGGAGTTTTTCTTATTCTTCCTTGCACATCCTCTCAAGCTCAGTGAGGTTGGATGGGCAGCGTCGGTGCACAGCTACTTTCAGGTCTTTCCAAAGATGTTCAATCGGGTTCAAGTCTGGGCTCTGGCTGGGCCACTCAAAGACATTCAGAGACTTGTCCTGAAGCCACTCCTTTGTCTTCTTGACCGTGTGCTAAGGGTCATTGTCATGCTGGAAGATGAAGTGTCGCCCAAGTCCAAGGTCTCGAGCGCTCTGGAGCAGGTTTTCATCAAGGATTTCAATGTACTTAGCTGCATTCTTTTTGCCCTCGATCCTGACAAGTCTCCCAGTTCCTGCCGCTGAAAAACACCCCCACAGCATGATGCTGCCACCACCATGCTTCACTGTAGGGATGGTATTGGCGAGGTGGTGAGCGGTGCCTGGTTTCCTCCAGACATGACGCTTGGCATTCAGGCCAAAGAGTTCGATCTTCGTTTCATCAGACCAGATAATTTTGTTTCTCCTGGTCTGTGAGTCCTTCAAGTGCCTTCTAGCAAAGTCCAAGCGGGCTGTCATGTACTTTTTACTGAGGAGTGGCTTCTGTCTGGCCACTCTACCATAAATGCCTGACTGGTGGAGTGCTGCAGAGATGGTGGTCCTTCTGTAGGGTTCTCCCATCTCCTCAGAGGAATGCTGGAGCTCTGTCAGAGTGACCATCGGGTTCTTGGTCACCTCCCTGACCAAGGCCCTTCTCCCCTGCTTCCTCATTTTAGCTGGGCGGCCAGCTCTAGGATGAGTCCTGGTGGTTCCAAACGTCTTCCATTTCTTAATGATGGTGACCACTGTGCTTTTTGGGATCTTCAATGCAGCAGATATTTTTCTGTAACCTTCCCCAGATCTGTACACCGATACAACCCTGATTCGAAGGTCTACAGACAATTTTTTCGACTTCATGGCTTGGTTTGTGCTCTGACGTGCTCTGTCAGCTGTGGGATCTTATATAGACAGGTGTGGCTTTCCAAATCATGTCCAATCAGCTGAATTTGCCACAGGTGGACTGCATTCAAGTTGGAGGAACATTTCAAGGCTGATCAGAGGAAACAGGATGCATCTGAGCTCAATTTTGAGTTTTATAGCAAAGGGTGTGAGTACTTATGTATTTGCAACATTTCAGTGTCTTATTTTTAACAAATTTGCAAAATGATCTAAAAAAAGTTTTTCGCTTTGTCAATATGGGGTATTTTGTGTAGAATTTTTGAGGGAAAAAAGGAATTTAATCCATTTTGGAATAAGGCTGTACCATAACAAAATGTGGAAAAAGTGAAGTGGTATGAATACTTTCCGGATGCACTGTACCCATGCCTTGGGCACTAATGCATCCCCATACCATCACAGATGCTGGCTTTTGAACTTTGCATCGATAACAGTCCAAATGGTTCTTTTCCTCGTTGGCCAGGAGGACACAACGTCCACTATTTCCAAAAACAATTTGAAATGTGGACTCGTCAGACCACAGAACACTTTTTAACTTTGCATCAGTCCATCTTAAATGAACTTGGGTCTAGAGAAGCTGACGGTGTTTCTGGATGTTGTTGATAAATGGCTTATGCTTTGTATAGTAGAGTTTTAACTTGCACTTACAGATGTAGCGACAATTTCTGTATTTACTGACAGTGGTTTTCTGAAGTGTTCCTGAGCCCATATGGTGATATCCTTTACACATTGATGTCAGTTTTTGATACAGTGCCACCTGAGGGATCGAAGGTCACAGGCATTCAATGTTGGTTTCCAGCCGTGCCACTTACGTGCAGTGATTTCTCCAGATTCTCTGAACTTTTTGATGATATGATGGACCGTTGGTGTTGAAATCCCTAAATTCCTTGCAATTGTGCTTTGAGAAACGTTGTTCTTAAACTGTTCGACTATTTGCTCATGAAGTTGTTCACAAAGTGGTGAACCTCACCTCATCCTTGCTTGTGAATGACTGAGAGTTTTTGGGGAAGCTGCTTTTATACCCGATCATGGCACTCACCTGTGGGATGTTCCAAATAGGGGTTTGATGAGCATTCCTCAAATTTCTCAGTATTATTTGCCACCTTTCCCTCCCTTTGTCACGTGTTGCTGCCATCGAATTCTAAAGTTAATGATTACTTGCAAAGAAACAATAAAGTTTATTAGTTTGAACATTAAATATGTTGTCTTTGTAGTATATTCAATTAAATATGGGTTGAAAAGGATTTGCAAATCATTGTATTCCATTTTAATTTATGATTTACACATCTTCCCAACTTCATTGGAATTGGGTTTTGTAGATATTTGTTGGTATTGGGACACAGAAAACAAGATGGTCCCTGTCAACTTTGACATGTGGTCATCCTCCATCCAAAGCACTGATAAGTATTGTCAATGTTCAGCTCGAATACTGTGAAAAACAAATAACTGATGAGTCTATAATAATGCAAGCCTAAAAAGGCAGGGAAATTGGGCTAATGACCCAAAGTCAAGATTTGTGATACTATTGTCCTTATTCTTTTTTTAACCTGGCTGGATCAGTGGATCACCATGCCAAATAACCAACACTAACCTGGAATGGATCAAGTTATGATCACGGTTTCAGTGCTGAGTAGGCTGAAAAGTACAGCCCTGTCAGTAATAATAATGTGGTGTGTTGTCTGTTAAGGTCTTCAGATGAAAATAAAATGTATTGGAAACATTTGAAAGCATAGTTCAATGGTAATAAAGCCATGGAATGAAGCCATGCAGTTACATATGTATCACACAGGGGGGGCCTCTGTCAGTGAAATCCCTCCCCCAGTCTCCACCCTGACATTTTTACTTGTTTCATTCAAGCAAAATAATGCTTAGATTCTTAAACAATAATAATAGTGTGTTGGGACACTGATTTAAAATATATAGAAAGGTCTGAAGAAGTGATTTGATACCTGTTAAAAACTGGATTGATTAAAAGATCAATTGTAGCAAAGAGGATTTTAGGGTTATTTTTATGATCCGTGATTATGTTCATGAAATAGGTGGATCTTGTGTGTCTGAGAGCTTTATTGTACATTTTCAGTTGCTCGCAGTATGTTTGATGATTAATTGAGATTTTATTTTCCTCCATCTCCGCTCAGCTACCCAGCAATTTCTTTTTAGTTTTTTGATTTCGTCATTTCTCCACAGCAGTGTGCGCTTAGGCAGTACCTTTTTTGTTCTCAGTGGTGCTACAAGGTCAAGTGTGGTTTCGAGTTTGTTGATAAAATGTTGAACAATAAAATCACAGGATGCAGGTAAAGTAGCTGAAGGATGCTTGCTCAAGATCTCAATAAAATTTGCAGCCACTTCTGATGTAAAATACCGTTTCCTGACAGTTTGCAACAAGGTATCCCGCTGAATAAAACTGGTGATGTTAAAAAACACACAATAAAGGTCAGACACAGTCAGGTCAACAACAGAGGACACACTGGCTGACAGGCCATAGCTGAGGACTAGACCAAAAGTGTGTCCTCTGTTGTGAGTTGGCTGTGTGACATGTTGTGTAAAATCCAAGCAACTAAGTAGATTTAAAAACTCTTTTGCCATTGAATCAGATGACATGATATGATATGATATTATATATTACTTTATTAGTTAGCTTACGCTGAAATTTGACTTGCGACAACAGCAGCATGTATGCAAAATAGGAGACACATATACACACATTTGACATGGACACCAGAGGCAGAAAAACATGCATTACATACATAAAGACATGAGGACAGGGGCCAAAAGTCCACCACCCTGCTTACCCCTGGCCCAACTCCTGATTAAGCCTTAAGGTCGACTGGTAGACAAAGGACCTTTTTAGTCTGACCTTATTGTATGCTGCTTATAATAATAAAATTGTAAGTGGCATGGATTATTGCTAAAAATTCAGCAAATTCACTGATACAAGCAACATTATGTTTTGGTGGTCTGTAAACAGTTATACAAAGAATTGAGGGACTGTTAAAAATAACCAAATGATGTTGAAAGGTGGTGTACTGATCAAATTGTATTTCTTTTGTGCTTAGTGAGCTGTTGATTATTGATGCAGTACCACCACCTTTCCTGCCACTTCTAAGAGAAAACGTAAAGTTAAAATTAGGTGGGGAGGCCTCAGTGAGAATAACTGGCGCGTCTGTACCCAGCCACGTTTCAGTTAGAAAACAGACAATCAACCTTGTTGTCTAAAATCAGGTCATGGACAATAAAAGATTTGTTTAAAAGAGGGAATATTTAAAAGTGCCATGTTAATGTTGACGGGTGATTTACAGACTGTGTGGTTAGATTGTTGATGTTTGGGGAGAGGTCTAGGTTTATTGAAGTTTACAGAGTGTACATGATGGAGTCTGGTTGTCTCTCGCTGAGTGATTATGACAGGAATGGGTGAATGGTTAATGAAAAAAAAAAAGGTTCGAGTCCAGTATTGTGTGTGACAGGGGTGAAACTAAAATTATAGGAACTGGGACCGGGGGGACATCAATCAGTGGTGAAAAGGTCAGTCAGTGTACGTTTGGGGTGATGGGAGGAAAGTGAGAGTTGAGTATGTTGTAGACCGTATGCCAGGTTGGTGGCCAGCACGCGGGTGCCAGCTCTATTAAGATGAAGACCATCCAAACCAAAAAGATGTCTCCTCTCCCCAAAAACATCAAAATTGCCAACAAAGCTGACATTGTGGGTACTGCAGGCTGATGAGAGCCAGGTGTTCAGGCTGAGCAGCCTGCTGAAGCGCCCAATGCCTCTGCCACAGGTGGGAGTGGGGCCGGAGATAAAAACGCGCAGCTGGGGCCGTTAGAGTTTGTTAAAAAGCTGTGTGAAATCACGCTTAAAAAGCTCGGACTGTTGTCTAGAGGTGTCATTGGTGCCCACATGTATGACGACCCTGTTTACCTGAGGATGTGACTTCAGGGCGCTTGGGATTTTCCTCGTTATGTCTGCAACAGTGGCGCCGGGAAAGGACAGGGTGAACACCCCCCTCAGACGGACGTTCCGGATGATGGAGTCCCCGATGACAAGTGTCGTGGCCTGTTGCCTGGGGGGCAGCTGGCTCGGTGGACCCCTCCTCCCCGTCAGGCAACCAGGGATGAGGACGTCCAGTGTGCCACCGCGCTGCATCCTTGAGGAGCTGCCTCCGCTAGGCTGAGGGACGGAGGTGAGCAGCACGGTGCTGGATGGCCCAGTGCTAGACGTCGATCCGGTGGGGCACAGGCAGCCATGAGTGGAGGGAAGGCTGTGGTGTCTGTCAGCGGGGGTGCAGCATCCCTCAGGGAGACCTCGGGATTAGCAGGGCCCTGATCCAGTGGCTCCACAGTCATGGACAGAGCCGAATATTTGTTGGAGAGGGGGGTGCCGATGGGGGAGAAAACACCGCGCGGAGCCCCGGCAGAAGCCTTCTTCTGACTGTGGACCGCTACCTCAGACCAGGGGGTCCCTCTGTTGGGAGTAGAGCTGGAGGGCCTCTGACAGGTGGAGGAGGAAGGCTCCCAGACGACGGTGTCCCTCAGTGCAGTGGCAGTGCTATGCTGTGGCAGCTCGCCTGTCTGTGTGCTCCAGCTGGGCAACGCCGGGAGCCGAGATTTGAAAGTGGCCAGGAGTGAGTCCTTCCTTTGCAGCTCATCTGAGAGTCAACCAATGTTCTCCAGAAGATCAGCGATCTTTTTCTGGGCTTATTTAAGTTTTTGATCAATTTCAGCAGGTAAGGAAGCGTCTATGATAGTAGCCTCCATGTTTGCCATGTAGCGGACTCAGCAAGAGTGCATAAAATCCTAGAGTCTGATGTCTAAAACCTTTCGTCCGGTAAAAGCAAAAAGATAAAAATAATCCTTTGCTCAAGGAACAAAATGTTAAAGGATAGAACATTTTAAAACCGAATAAAAATGATGGCTTGCGGGAACTTGCACTCTTTTTCTCTTCTATGACAGATAAAATAAAATAAAATAAAAACCCATACATGGTAAACGTTCAACTTAAAAGCCAGCAAACTCTTAAAATGCAGTCTTAAAAGTTGTTAAAATGGGTTAAAAAGTTGGTCACAGAAGAGAGAAATGGCTGGGGATTTAACCAGGTTTCAGTAAAACGCAGGAAACTGCACTCAGTCTTTCTCAGTCTTCACCAAGATCTCCAGCTCATCGCTTTTGTTGGGCAGAGAGTTGACGTTTCCCATGATGATTGATAGAAGAAAGAATTTATATCTCCACCTCCTAGCATTAGCTTTGCCTTCAACTTTGCACCAGCACGGCAACCACAATAACACCTCCTGATGTCCTCTGGAATGGTATGTTGTTGTCCAGATTTGCTTTTCCTCAATGAAAGCAGCTCTTCTTTTGAGTAAACTCTGCGCCCAGCAGAAGTATCCATCAGCAGCCAACAAAATGACAACAAAAATATGAAACTAATCGAGCAAAAATTACAAAAATTACAGATAATACAAAGAGACCAGATTTGCAGCAACCTCTTGATTCAAGCGCATCATTTGAAAGATGGCACATGACCTCACATGGCACAGAGGTCGCAAGAGTAGCCAGGTATTTACGAGCAAGAGAAGACAGCCATGAGGAAGGCTGTGGTGTCTGTCAGCGTCCCTCGGGGAGACCTCGGAATCAGCAGGGCACTGGTCCAGTGGCTCCATAGTCATGGACAGAGCCGAATATTTGTTGGAGAGGGGGATGCTGAAGGAGGAGGAAACACTGCACGGAGCCCTGGCAGAAGCCTTCTTCCGACTGTGGACCACTACCTCAGACCAGGGGGTCCCTTTGTTGGGAGTAGAGCTGGAGGGCTGCTGACAGGTGGAGGACAAGAGAGGACAACTGTCCATAGGCTCCTGCATGAGCTGCCCACCACTCCAGTGGACATTCATGCATTCCAATGCAAGGCTCAGCTTTGTAGTGGGCTAGAGGCCCGGCTCCTCTTTGTCCAAATCAGAACATAGCAGGAGGAGGCTCTCTTTTGCTGCTGGCTCATCCTCTGTGGGTTGAGGAGCAGCAGGTCCCCCTTCTGATCCTGCCGGCATCTCTGCAATCCAGGTCCACACCTTAAAAGAGGGAAAATTAATTTGTTGCATAGGACTTTGTAACCAATGCACTCACAAAACACATAAGTCGCCCCTCCTGTATGGGAGGGAGGGGGAGATAAGTGTACGAAGGAGCGAGAGAGAGAGTTGAAGTAAGGTGTGTGTGTGTGTGTGTGTGTGTGTTTGAGTGAGTGAGTGAGTGAGTGAAGAGAGAAAGAGCGATGTATGGGAGAGAGGGAAAGTTGAGTGTATGTAAGGGGGAGAGAAAGAGAGAGGTGAGGTGTGTGTGTGTGTGTATGTGTGTGTGCGCGGGTGAGAAAGCGAGAGAGAGAGACATACCTGTAGGGTTCAACCTCCAGTTTCTGTAGTTTGTCACACTTGAGGTTGGACAGTGTTGCCAGGTTGAGTCTCTGTTGGGCTAAAGAGGCATTCACAGCCTCATGGTTCCACAGGTACCTTGAGACCATTGAGAGCGCTGAATTCCATCTTTCAATAAAATAGAATAAAAACTTAGTCCCACAGGGGGCTGTAAGTTTTTGAGCAGTATGTTAGCAGCATGTTGTACATACAGAAGTTGCACTGAACACACACAAACACACAAAAACCTTCATCAGGAGCAAGAAAACTATAGATAGTAGTAAGCAGTCTTACTTTGTGGACACGTCTTGAATCAGGAGCTCTCTGGCCTATCCGAGGGCAGTCTAATGCTGGTGCAGTTCTTCTCTACTGGCAGGGCTGTGTTTGAAATGCCCTACTATTTTGCTGCACTTTTTCAGGTCGCTGTTAAAGCTGCTGTCCTCAAGGTAGACTGTGATGGGTCTTTGCAGCATATGTGTGGAATATGGGATGTGCTCGATAGGCAGCTGGCGTGCTGCTGTGACCATGTTTCTTGCACTGTCAGTTCCGATGGTTGTCACTTTTTTTTTTTGATTTCCCGTTCCTTTGTCACAGCATTGAACTGCTAAAAGCATGCATCAGCATAATGGTGGGTCACTGTTTTGCTCATGGTTAAAGACTTAAGTTTCCACTCACTATTAATTATGTGTACTGTGACTCCCAAGTAGTTATGATTTCTCACCGATGTCCACTGATCCCCTGTTAAGGCGACGTGGTAGGCTCCTGCCAACAGAATTTTTTTCATCACCATAGTTCTCGAAGGTAGCTTTAAATTTGCATCCAATGACGTTATCTGAATTGCCTCATTTAGCCCCTCACCTTCCAAGACTGAAATTGACCTGTAATATCCTGCAACCCACTTTGCAATTGAGTTTGTCAGTTTTTATGTGGTGGCTTTGCTCATTCGTTTCCCAAGTTCTGTAATTATGGGTTGGGGTTGGCGAAGTGAGCTCACAGTAGCACTGGCAATGCTAACAGTGGAACTTGTCTGGACATGTTTAGCATATAAATGACACGTCAGGCTGGAGCAGCTTTGATGATAAGAAAATTCTTGTCGACAAATCTACAAATCATCTTTTTCTTGTTGACTGTCCTGTCTGCAGAATTATTTGGAAATAAACCTGTTGTTCAAGGGCCCCTGATGTGAGTATCAACGTCTTTATCATACAACATTTTTATTTATTTTTTTCAAACGTGCCTTACTCACCTTATATTATCATGTCTTTATCTGTTTTAAAGCCAAAGGTAACAAGTCATCAGTAAATAAGCTGAGTAGAAAGAAAAAATCGAAAGGCAAGCCGCCTATTAATAGGTATGAAAGTCTAACTACAACAGTTTTTTTTTTATTGTATTTTATTTTTCATTTAGTAAACACATAATTAACCACCTATTTATAGCAGGCACCCTGCGGGTATCGACTTCTGGGGACGGACATACCCGATCATTATAAAAGATGATGATGATGATGATGATTTTCAAGGTACGTCTCAAGATATTCGTATACAATTCCATGGGTGGGGAACACGCAGAATTGTTTTATACCATTTCTGTGTTTTTTTCTATTTCTTAATCTCAAGTGGCAAAGGTGAGCAAGCAGCAGCAGCAGCGAAAGCGCAAATCAGCAGGAGAGACATCACAGTCGTGTAAAAGGTGCGTATCATGTGTACATACTGCGTGTCAATATTCAAGTAAAGAAAACAACTAACTTTGCTTATCCTGATCCAAAGGCATCCCTTGATTGACGACGTTGACGCAGTTGTACAGCAGACAGACACCAGAGGCCTTCACCCTGCGCCAGATGCCCTGCGTGAAAAGCAATCTAGCGAAACCGAGGACGGCACACAGCAAACTGAGGAATATAAGTTATCAAGCCTTCACCCTGCACCAGCTGTCCTGCTTGAGAAAGAATCTGGTCGAGCCACGGATCCTGGACTGCAAGCCTCTAAAGATAAGTTGTCACCTGTGTCACCACAAAGCGATTTTGTTATCGTTGCCTTTTTAGAAAGCTTTGATTATGGTGTTCCTACTGTAGCATGCAGTCAATCAGATGTAAATAGCACTGTTGACAATGCTCAGGATGATCAGAATTTAATTAGTGGGTCCAGTGGGGATTATTTAAACACAGTACACACATTTCTGCGTAGTGAAGGGGAGAGTGTTTTAGAAAGTGTTGATCTCAACATAGCCGAATCAGACTTGTCAGAAATCAATCGGCTTTGTTTAGAGTTGTGTAAATCGCAGCCTTGTGTGGTATCGGATAACACTGTGGCAGCAGGATCCGGCAAGTGTGATCAGGCCACACAGACCTCGGATGTGTGTATTGGGGACTGCGTTAGCATACTACAGGCAGTCACAAGAGGTTTTGAGGATCTCAACAATAAATATTCAGACTGTGTAAACAACGGTTTTGAAAAGTTGGTAGAATCATATGAAGGCCTATCGAGCCTTGTGAAGGCACAAAACCAGATGTTTGATTTACATACCAAAAACACAAAAAATTTGGAACATACAATCGCTGAGATATTGCATTCCCTCTCTGGTATGTCTGGTAAAAAAAAAGTAATAGGCCAAAAATAGCACACAGAACAATGGAACCTCCCAAAAAAAATTTCAAATTAGGTGATGACTCCGAATGTGATGCTGACAATAATGGTTCTGTATGGAGAGGTCGGTTTTCATTTATCAGTGACGCCACTTATGCGGCGGTGCCAAACCCTGGTCATGCATTTAGTGAGGTAGCGTCGTTAGCCACAGAGATGTCAAAACAACTGTTTCTGCTGAAAAGATACGTGTCTCAGTTACCAGAAGGTGGTTGTTGTGATCTTTCGGTGTGTGTTGATGAAGGACCCTCTGAAACAAATAATTTTGTGCTGAATCCTGAATCAGATTGTGAACCAATAGTAAGTGCTGGCTCCCCTGTAAATCAGGTTGGTGGTTGTGGGGGTGTTGGTGGTGATGGTTGTTGTGATCTTTCGGTGCATGTTGATGAAGGACCCTCTGAAACAAATAATTTTGTGTTGAATCCTGAATCAGATTGTGAATCAATAGTGAGTGCTGGCTCCCCTGTAAATCAGGTTGGTGGTAATGGTGCTGATGGAGGTGTTGAGGAGTCTGCAGACTCATCTTCTAATTCAACAGATGATGTCGATGGGCATGAACATGTTCAGTTCAGAGACGTACCCGCATTCAATTCCTTTGAATTAAGACAACACATTGATTTGAGAGACATCAATCCTGATAATGTGGATCAGGTACCCGTACGGGTCAGAAATAGTGCAGTGTGATCGATCGTGCCTTGTCAGATTCACCTCACGGTAGTGTGTTAAATGTGGTCCTGAGAGGTCCCTCCCTTGCAAGTGATGTACAGGCTATTTTACATGCGCGTGACAAATACAGCTCTGATTTGTTTTTAGAAGAAATTGCTCAGGCCATGCAGAGCAATGATACTTCGATGACAGACGATGAGTTAGAGTTCATAGTCACAGTTGCGAGAGGCAGAAGTGGGGGTGCGTGCTTGAAATTGGGTAGTGTCCCGTATGATGAAATCCTGCTTAAAAAGGGCAAGCATTTGTACAACCCAGTGAACACAGAAAATAATCTTTGTTTCTCTATATGTCTAGCCCATGCTCTTCACCATGATATGTCAAATGACGAAAAAGACCAATTTGCAAGACAGCTCTGCAGAGCCGTCGGGTTTGATCCCATGAACAAGGTGTCATTTTCAGACATCACAAAATTTGAAAAACAATTGAATGTAAAAATAATAGTCTTTCACCATGGCACAGGGCGTAACCGCCTGGTGCATTACCAAACACATAACAATCCCCAGACACACACAATTTTGCTTTATCTACTCAACGAGCATTATTATCTGATCGAAAACAAGCAGGGGTTTTTAGGGGTGCCCGACGTCTGTGACTACTGTTACAAGACATATGACAAGCCTCTGTGGCACAACGGTAGTGTTATACTGTATGTAATGTATGTTTTACTCAGTGCCAAACCACAACAGATGTAAGTGTGACGTGTCAAACATGCAAGCGGATCTGTAAATCCAGACCCTGTTTTGACAATCACAAGCTGAAAAACATTAAACACGATCTTGTGCCATGCGACACCTTAAAGTACTGTGATGCATGCTCAAGAATTTACAAAAAAACTAGTAAACAGCATCAGTGCCGCGCACCTGCATGCACACATTGCGGTGAACACACATTGCACGGGGATGAGTCACACACTTGTTTTATTCAGCCCCTTAAAAGACAAGAGACCCGGAACAAAATACATATTTTATGACTTTGAGACACGGTATCATGATGGAAAGCATGAGGCTAACTTTGTTTGTAGTATAGACATGGAGGGAAACAAGTTTTGCTTTAATAACGCAAATTGTGTAGCTGAGTGTGTTAAACACTTCAGAAGGCCAAAATACAGCTCCTACACATTTATTGCGCACAACGCCTCAGGTTTTGACAGCTACCTTGTGTTGGAGTACTTTGCACAGAGCGGTCTTATCCCTAAGCTGACAATGAGGGGTAGTAGGATTATCCTTATGTACGACGAGGCGTACAAACAGCATTGGCTTGATTCATTCAGCTTCCTGCCCATGAGATTGTCTAAAATGCCAGCTGCTATGGGATTTGCAGATCTTGAGAAAGGCTATTTCCCACACAAGTTCAACACCAGGGAAAATATGCAATATGTCGGGCCGTACCCTGAGCCGTCCTACGGCTACGACACCAAGAGCAGTGAAGAGGAGGAGGTTTTCATGTGCTGGTATAACATGGTTCGTGATGAGACTTTTGATTTCAGAAAGAGATCATGCCCTACTGCGTTAATGATGTGGAAGTCCTGCGGCGTGCCTGTACAATTTACCGCGAAACATTTCTGGGTTGTACACAGCTCGATCCCTTCTCCTTTACCACTCTTGCGTCTAGCTGTATGGGTGTGTTTAAAATGTTGTTTCTTCCCAAAGACACTCTGGCGCTCACGTATGAGGGGGCGTATGTAAGCCAGAACAAAACGTACTCTGCAGTCTCCATGCAGTGGCTGGGATACCTGGCACACACAGAAAACATAGCGATTTAACATGCATGCAATCTGGGTGAACACAAAGTGGGCAACTACTTTGTAGACAGGTATGATGCAGTCACCAGGACGTGTTATGAATTTGCAGGTTGTTTTTTCCACGGTTGTGTCAGGTGTCATGTCCAGTCAGATATCAATCCTGTTTGCAAGGCCGCTTACGGTGAGCTGTATTGTTCATTTATGAACAAGGTGGCTGCTCTGGAGAACAGTTTTGGTCTGAGCATTGTTGTGATGTGGGAGTGCGAATTGGCAGAGCTGACCAAGACGGACCCAGCTGTACAGGCATTTTTAGCCACTTTCAGAGCCCCTGAATGTCTTGACCCAGTACAAGCTATCTTCGGCGGGCGCACCAATGCCATGAAGTTGTACCATGTGACAGAATCTGGTGAAGTGATTGTTGACTTCAAAAGCCTGTATCCATTCGTGCAGTCCAGCAAACCGTATCCGGTAGGTCATCCGCAGATTATCCTAAGGGAAGTATTTGGGGCTTGGAAAGTGCACTGTGCTCCCACCCAGACGTCTTTTTCACCCGGTCCTACCCTACAGGTGTCATCAAAAACTCATGTTCCCGCTATGCCGTACTTGTGCTGAAGAGTTAAACCAAGCCACTGAGTGCACACACTGTGATGGTGAGAGGCAGCTTTCAGGTGTATGGGTCTCGTTTGAGCTCCAAAAGGCTGTTGAAAAAGGGTACCAGGTGGTGGTTATTAACGAAGTGTGGCACTTTCCCGACAAGTCAGACACATTGTTTCGTGAGTATGTCAAGACATTTCTGAAATGTAAGCAGGAGGCTTCTGGTTACCCCTCTCACGTCAAAACAGAGGCTGATCAGCAGAAATACATCGATGACCACTTTGAAAAGGAGGGGATCAGGCTTGACCCGGACAAGATCAAGGTAAACAAAGCAGTTATGAGCTGTAACAAACTTCTCAACTCTTTGTGGGGCAGGTTCTGTATGCAGAATAACATGCCTTCATGCGAGCTGATCACTGATCCTGCTAGATTCACACAGCTCATGTTCAGCAATCACTATGATGTGAGACAATTCTGCTTCATTAGTGAGAAGGTAGCTATGGTCCAGTGGTGTCACGCTGATGCGTGTGGATCTAGAATCAAGGATGTCAACGTCTTTGTTGGCGCCATGACAACAGCCTATGCCAGAATGATGCTGTATGATTTATTAGACAAACTGCAGGAGGGTGTGCTGTACTATGACAGCATTGTTTTTACAGCGAAAAGTGGGGAGTGGGTGCCCCAGCCCCCGCTGGGTGATTTGACTGATGAGATTAATGCAGGGGAGGTGTGTGGTCCTGAGGGTGAGTTTGTTTCAGGGGGTCCCAAATGTTATGCTTATCAGACGAAACACGGCAAAACACAGGTCAAGTGAAAAGGGAGTCACACTGAATGCACAAAACAGGGGTGTTGTCACACACGAGTCATTATTGGGGCTCATAAATTCCTTTGTGTCCGATTGTGCATCGGACGCACACATAACCACCACATATGACACCATTACATGAGATAAAAAGAGACTCCGTCTGAAAAACGAAAACAGTTTGATTATCTCAGAGGAAAAATTAACACTGTCGGGCGGGTTACCAAAGCAGTCGAAAAAACATCTTTCTCTGTGTCTTCATATGTACATCGCTACCCAGTGCTCACCAGGGGCCTCATGTATCAACACTTGCGTGGGACTCATACCAGAAACGAGCACACGCAAGGTCCGTCACGCTGAAAAGAATTTGTATGTATCAAGGTGTGCGGGCGCCGAAAGCCACGTGTGTTTCCTTGATAAATCAGCTTGGAATTGAGCGCAGATGTCAGAGTGACCAGGCCCGCCCCCGTTATGCCCACCTATAAATATGCAGATTTATTTAAATAGGGTCTCCCTGTCCTCGCACGCAGACAAAATGACAAGAAAAACGGAATTTACGGCGTGCGAGGTGGAGATGCTGGTGGCATCTCCACCTAGAGGAGCGACAGCGTGTTTTGTTTGGCAGCCTGTCCAGTGGTGTCAGTGCAAAACAAAAAGGCTTGGAGTGGGAGAAAGTTTGCAAGAGGGTGAACGCGGTGGGTTTTCGAGACACGCACCCCCGCTGAGATTAAAAAAAAGTGGTCTGACCTTAAGGTGGAGGTCAAGCGGCGTACAGCTGCCCTCCGGAGGAGTACGGGGGAGGAGAACCTCACGCCGTTTGAGCAGCGGGTGGTGGTGATTATGGGGGGTGCCTCTGTGGGGGGGATTGTCGTCCCTACCTGCGCCGCTCCTACAGCCTGCCGGAGGGTAAGTGGCGTGTCACACAAATGTCCACATGCTTTGCCATAGATGTAAACGCAACAGATACACAGAAGCAGGAATTGAAATGAACCAATATTTTTATTGTGTCACAGAAATCAATGTGTCGGCCGTGTTGCCGGCTTGCAGAACCCCGGCCCGCAGCAGCCCGTCCGCCGGCTCGGAGTCGTCGGCCAGGACCAGCAGCATTCGGGCCACCCCGGCCCCCGGCCCCAGCACCAGCACCAGCACCAGCACCAGCGCGCCGACAAGCGGTGGAGCGTCCACCAGCCGCGGCTCTTCCACTGGACCACCCGGACGCAGTGGAAGGGTCCTCACGGAGGTGGTCCTGCAATCACAGGAAGAAATCATCAGGGGGATCGCGGGGATCAATGAGCAGCTGGACCGGCTCGTAAATGTCCTCGAGCGACTGGTGGAGAAAATAAATTAATTTGGCTCATTGAACTGTGTATTCACTTCTTACCCATTCACATTGTGGTGATGAGATTCTCGGCCCGGCAGGGATCAGCTCGCATCCCTCCGTCTGCTGCTGGTTCGTCATGTGGGGCGACGGGGATGCGGTGCACGCTTGTCACATAGTGAGTCACCAAACACCGCCACACAGCGTCGCCAAAGTGCCGTCAATGCAAGTATCGGCTCAACGCCAACTTCTACACCACCTCCTCACTTTGCGTGGATTTGCGCTGGAACCGACGCTCGTGTTGCGATGATAAATCTGGATGTGTGCGCCGATCTTGGCGAACGCAAGGTTTTCTGGCACCGCCAGCGTTGATACATGAGGCCCCAGGTTTGTTGGAGGGATGTGTGTTTACAATTAACATGGCGGGTAATTTGGCAATTTTGTATTTGGGTATCTCATCACACGGCATGACGCCTAGAAAATTTGTACCGTTAATTTTTCTA